AGGAAAGCCACATCCCCTGAAAGCCTGGCTCAATGGCAGCCCTCCGGTGGGGACGCAGGAATGATGGGTGGGTGAGTGTGTGGGAGGGAGACAAGTCTGTAGGAGATGGGGGTGGGGGGGTGCCCTGGATGCTAGGTCAGAGAGAGAAGGAACTGCAGGAAGATGGTAGAAGTTTACCAAGAGCCTCTCGTGGGCTCTTTGTCTCTGTCAGTATCACCCCACTCTGCACAGGAGGGAACTGCGGCTCAGAAGGTGTGGAAGCACGTCCGATGTCACCAGACAGGAACAGCGGGGCCAGGACTTCATCACAGGGCCCCTCAGACCCAGGGACAGACAGCACGCCGAGAAGACAGAGACGCTGGGGAGGAGAGGGAGAGAGCTGGAGCAGAGGGCCAGGGGCGAGACAGGACGGGGTGGGGAGTGGAGGGGGCAGAGGAAGGAGCTGGGTCTCTGCAGGTTCATGCTCCTTGTGGCCTTCGCTGGAGGTGACCCCAGGTGGGCAGGCATCAGTGACATGGTGACCCGGGGTTGGGAGAATGCTCTCCTCCTCACCCAAAGACACAGAGAGACCCCAGGGTGATGGGACTGGGTTTGCCTCTTCCTTTGCATCGCGAACCTCCATCATTTTCCAGCAGACGAGAAACCCATTCAAGAGACTAGCACAGGCTCACACACACACTCACTCGTGGCAATAATCCCAAACCCTCGCAGATGGCAGGGCAGTTCACAAGCCACTTCACCTCTACACTGACATGCCAGTCCTGGGTGCGGTATAAGACACTGCAGCTCTGTTTATCATTTGTGCCCATTTTATAGGTGGGAAAACTGAGGCTGGGGAATTCAGTGCATTTCCGAGGGCCTGTGGCTCAGAAGTCATAGTGGTTCCTGAACCACAAAGTCTTTCTCTTGTCACAACTGCCACGGATCCCATGATTGAGGCCACTTAACATGAAGTTCTCTAGGACTAAGCAGGAAGTAGGCCCCTGGGGGCACCTCGAATGAGGAAACTCAAGGCATGGGTGAGGGGGAGGTTTTGAGGGCTTTCACACGGCACCGTGGAGAGGGGCTGTGTGCGTCTGCAGGGGCAGAGGAGGGTGGGAGAGACAGAAACAGGGATGGTCAGGGCCCCAGGCCGGGCAGTGGGGATGGGACACTCCCACTGAGGCCCCAGAGCATCACCTCTGGGTTCCTATGACCCATGGTAAAGAGGTGCCTGGAGCCAGGTGAGTCACGGGGCAGCAGGACGTGAGCCAGGCTTCAGGGCCAGCAGGCTCCAGCACAGCTCCAGGCATCCACAGCCATCGCAGGAGACTGGCAGGGCCACAGGCCAGGCACACGGAGCCTGGCATTCTGGCCTGGCTGGGAGGGAGGACCAGACAACCTCTGGGATGCCGGAGATGGCAGGGGGAGCAGGGTCTGGCTGTCCACCCCTAGAATGAGCAGTAAGCCCCCAAGGAGGGAGGGCGGGGGTCAGACCTGTGCGGAAAGTTGAACACACACTGACTCACTTGATGCCCTCAACAGCCCAGGGAGAAGCGGTCTGTTCCTCTCCCATTTTCCAGATGAGAAAATGGAGGCTCAGGGACCTCAAGTGACTTGTTCAAGGTCGCACAGACAGGGGATCATAAGGACTCGAACCCAGATCTGTTCACTCAAAGCCTGAGCTGTGTGAAGCCCCTGCCACACCCCCTCAGGGCTGTCCCCCACCCCCGCCCCCAGAGCTCAGGGAGGCACTGATGCACATCTGCCAGAGCCCCGCAGCCCCAGTGTGAGACTCCAGGGGCTGGGCTGGGCCTTAGGCTCTGCAGTGGAACCAGCTCCTGGGTGACGCTGCTCCACATGGCCCCTGCTAAGAGCCCCGGACTCGGGGTGGGGGCATCTCTCCCAGAGGACGGGGCTTCTCTGCCTGTGGTGCCACAGGTACAGCCCAAGATGCAGCAGACAGACCCAGATTCAAGTCCTGGCTGCGATTTTGCTTTCACTGGTCTGGCCTCAGTTTTCCCACCTGTAAAGTGGGGCTACCTGTCCCCTGTCCCTGTCCCTGCCCCGAGGCTGTTGCAAGGGCTCAAGGAGGCAGAGGACGGCTAAACTGCTGGATGTGACAGTCACTGTCACCCAGTTCTCTGGGTCAGTGGCCTGGGGTCAGCCTGTTTGACTGGCCGAGCAGGCACTGAAGTAGCTCCACTGTGTGCTGAGACCTGGGCCGATGGGGGCAGGGGCCAGCCCTCAGTGAGCCGAAGGATCTGGGCAAAGAGATGGCAGGGCAGGACTTACCCACCCAGGGTGCAGAGGGGGTCTCTGAGCTTGGGGTCTGGGTTGCAAAGACTTCCTGGAGGAGAAGGTGCTCCTGAGCTGGAAGGGGCCCACACAGTGAGCCCGGAGTCCATGCCCTGCTCCTTTCCTGGAGGATGACGTTGGCCCCAACTGCCTCCTTTCTCTTGGTCTCAGTCTCCGTGTGGGTAAAATGAGGCGAGGGAATTTGCCGTGAAGAAGCCAGAAGATAGCATTTGAAGTGAGCCTCCAGGGCTGGGCACAGTTGGGTGGGGGAGAGAGAGTCCCAGAGGTGGGACTGCGCTCCGCTGCGGGGGCAGGGCGGCGCCAGGGGCAGGGCCGACTCCCCGCCACTGCAGGCCTGGGGGCGGGGGTGCATGCGCCGCAGTGAGGGCCAGGGAAGCCTGGCGGGTCTCTCAAGCAGCAGGAGAAAAAGGAGAGATTGATCGGAAGAGCACCACTACCTCAGCCTCTACCACCTGGACAGCGGTGATTCTTACTCTGGGGGAAATAAGCTCAGAGCATCTGCAAGCTCAGGGCCTCAGCTTCTCCACCTGTAAAATGGGCCTGTCAAAGCACACACACACACACAGCACTCAGTAAGTGGAAGCCGCTAGTGGTAGCAGCAACAGGGGCAGGTCTGTTGCTGAGAGCCAGAGCTGTGACGCCAGAGCCCAAAGCTTTGATGTACTTTCAGTCTCCTGTGGTGGATTAGTCACTAAGTCGTGTCTGACTCTTGCGACCCCATGGACTGTAGCCCGCCAGGCTCCTCTTTCCATGGGATTCTCCAGGCAGGAACACTGGAGTGGGCTGCCATTTCCTGCTCCAGGGGGTCTTCCCGACCCGGGGATCAAACCCTCATCTCCTCTCCTGGCAGGTGGGTTCTTTACCACTGAGCCACCAGGGAAGTGTGATAGGAACTATTATTTAGCCCAACTTGGTAGATCAAAGAAACTGGGGCTCAGAGAGGTTAAGTCAGCGGCCCAAGGGCACACAGGTAAATGAAGACCAGGATTAGAATCCAGAGTCCAAGCTCTTAAATAACATATCACCTAACAGATTCAACTGCCTCCAGAGAGCCTGCCCCACAGTGATGCCCAGGACCCTGGTGTGTCTACAAGCCCCACACCACCATTCAGGGGGCTCTGGTGGGGCCCCCACCTTGAGAAACCTGCACCAGAGCTTCACCTCCAAGCCTCCTTGGAGCAGGAGGAGGCAAGGACGATGCCAGGAAGAGCCGTAAGGGCACTGGGGAAACAGCAGGTTACTGAGCAGGGGTGGGGCTCCCACCACCAGAGGCTGGAAGGTTGGGCAGCCACGGGGTGAGGAGGGGACTTGGGTGAGCGGCACATCAAGCCCTCAGCCTCACACCATGGTCTCCACGGGCCCGAGGGGACAGATGGCATCGCCCAGGCCTGGCCTGTGGCTGTCACTCATCCAGATGAGTTATTAGCGGGTCGAATGGGCAGCAGCCGGGGGGTGGGGGGGGCTGTAAAAACAATTGCAGGGAGACCCCAGGACAATGGGAGCCACGTGCCATGGGGGCAACAGTCGTTTGTCACACAATGGACCTCCAGGGGACAGCAGCCGGGCCAACTGCTGCCACCGACACGGGCTGGCCGAGTTTTCAAATCGTTTCCAGGCTGTGTTTTCCTACGAGGCAGCCAATCGCCAGGGCGGCTGGGCAGTCACCTGATGCTAGCTTGGTGGGCTGAGGGCCCAGGCCCCGTGACAACCGAGTAGCCGGTGCCATGGCAACGCTAATTGTGGCCCTAAAACACAAGGAAGTGAGAGAGATGGAGAGAGAGAGCCGCTTGAGGGGGGCCATGCAGATGGCAGGAGGGGGTGGAGGCTGATACCCCAGCTGGGCCCACGGTCCCGTGCACGAGAAAACCCCAGGCTACACCCCTCTCTCTCTCTGGGGTCCCAGTATACCTATTTTTGAAACTTGGAGCTTAAAATTTGGACGGTGGGCCTCGGGTCAACAGATCAGAAAGTGCCTGGCGTGTGGTGGGGCTGGCATGGGCTCTTGGCCGGTTTGCAGACACAGTATATTATAACACAGGCAGGATGGTGCTGTAGGGTCCAGGGCCCTGGAGGTGTGGGGTGAGCACTTGAAGGACACTGGGGAGCCATGGTTACCCCAAATTGGGGGTACTTGCCTGCTATCCTTGATGGGTACTCTTTCTTTCCATAGAAAGAAATGTTTTTGCTCTGGTGCTGGGTGAGTTGCAGGGGGCATGTATCCTAACTGAAAGCTCCAGGGGCTGCTTGGGGTCATGGTAAGGAGTTCAGGCTGGGATTCCAGCCCTACCACTTCCTGTTCCGGATTGGCCTTGGGTGAGTGACTTAGGGCTGTGAGCCTCAGTTTGCCCATCTATAAGATGGGAATAATAACAACTGCTTCATCAGGTGACTGGGGGTGTTCCCTGGGTTAATACCTGGGAAAGACTTGATACAGTGCCTGGCACATAGTAAGTGCTTAACAAACACTAATGTTTATCATTTGGGGGTAGGGCCTGAGTAAGATGTGTCTAGTGAATAAATGAAGGGAAGGTTTGAGGATGTGCAATCTGGCTGCTAAAGGGGGCTCCCCAGGGATGGGCAGATTGGAGGATGAGGTGGCCTGGGGGAGGTGAGAAGCTTTGGGGGTGATCCCAGAGGTGGAGGAGCCCCAGGAGCTGGCCTGAGCTCCCCGCCCCCGCCCGAGCTCCTGCCCCTCCCTGCAGGCTCCTGGCCACCACCTGCAATGATGACCTTCCCGGGGACCTGCAGTCTCTGTCGTGGCTCACGGCCGTGGACGTGCCAAGGCTGCAGCAGATGGCGAGTGGCCGTGTGGACCTGGGCAGCCCCAGTGTGCCACACGCGCACCCAGGTAGGCACAGGGTGAGGCGGGGTGGTGGCAGACTGGGGCGGGATGGGGAGACAGGGAAGGGCAACGGCCAGTGCTTCCGTGAACCACGGGGTAGCTGTGGCCAGGTCAGGCTTGCTCTCTCTCCAGTCCTCAGTTTCTGCCTCTGTAAAATGGGACTAATTCTTCCTTCCCCAGAGGGATGTGGTTCGCTCTTTTGCTCATCATGGTGTGCCAGGCCCTGTGTGAGCTCCGGTTTCAGCAAAGAATAAAGACAGCCCCTCCCCTCACCCTGGGACATCTAGAACACCTTGAGCAGTCAGCAAATGACCATCTCTGGGAGCCAATGCAGCCCATGGCTTGTTTTTGTATGGCCCTTGTGTTAAGAATGCTTTACATTTTTCAAAGGTTATAAAGAAACAGACAAGACAGATCATGTGGCTGGCAAAAGCCTGAAATATTTGCTGTCTGACCCTTTACAGAAGTTCAGTTCCTTTACTTCTTTAGAAGCACTTTGGGTTAAGGGCGGAAGGGGAGAGATGAATTTGGAGTTTGGGACTAATATATACACACTACTATATATAAAATAGATAAACAGCAAGGATCTAGTACACGAAATATAGCACATGAAACTATACTCAGTCCTAAAGAAGGGCAATGCCAAAAAGAATGTTCAAAAAACCGCACGATTGTACTCGTTTTACATGCTAGCAAGGTAATACTCAAAATCCTTCAAGCTGGGCTTCAACAGTACATGAACCAAGAACTCCCAGATGTACAAGTTGGATTTAGAAAAGGCAGAGGAACCAAAGATCAAATTACCAGCATCTGTTGGATCATAGAAAAAGCAAGGGAATTCCAGAGAAACATTTTCTGCTTCATTGACTGCACTAAAGCCTTTGACGGTGTGGATCACAACAAACTGGGAAATTCTGAAAGAGTTGGGAATATCAGACCACCTTACCTGTCTCCTGAGATACATGTATGCAGGTGGAAGCAACAGTTAGAACTGGACATGGAACAATGGACTCATTCAAAATTGGGAAAGGAATACGTCAAGACTGTATATTGTCACCCTACTTATTTAACTTACATGCAGAGTACATCACGCTAAATCCTGGGCTGGATGAAGCACATGCTGGAATCAAGATTGCCAGGAGAAATATCAATAACCTCAGATATGCAGATGACACCACCCTTATGGCAGAAAGTAAAGAGGAACTAAAGAGTCTCTTGATGAAGGTGAAAGAGGAGAGTGAAAAAGCTGGATTAAAACTCAACATTCAAAAAACTAAGATCATGGCATCTGGTCCCATCACTTCCCGGCAAATAGATGGAGAAACAATGGAAACAGTAAGAGACTTTATTTTCTTGGGCTCCAAAATCACTGCAGATGGTGACTGCAGCCATGAAATTAAAAGACGTTTGCTTCTTGGAAGAAAAGCTATGACCAACCTAGACAGTGTATTAAAAAGCAGAGACATCACTTTGCCAACGAAAATCTGTATCGTCAAAGCTATGGTTTTTCCAGTAGTCATGCACAGATGTAAGAGTTGGACCATAAAGAAGGCTGATCGCCGAAGAATTGATGCTTTCGAAGTGTGGTGCTGGAAAAGACTTTTGAGAGTCCCTTGGACTGCAAGGAGATCCAACCAGTCCATCCTAAAGGAAATCAGTCCTGAATATTCATTGGAAGGACTGATGCTGAAGCTGAAGCTCCAATACTTCGGCCACCTAATGGGAAGAGCTGACTCATTAGAAAAGACCCTGATGCTGTGAAAGATTGAAGGCAGGAGGAGAACGGGGTGACAGAAGATGAGATGGTTGGATGGCATCATCGACGGACATGAATTTGAACAAATTCTAGGAGATAGCGATGAACGGGGAAGCCTGGCATGCTGCAGTCCATGGGGTTGCAAAGTCAGACATGACTGAGCGACTAAACAACAATAAGGGAAAAGAATCTGGAAAAGATTTTCAGATTATATATAAAAAGTTTATATATATATATATATATATATACATATATATATATTAAAAAAGACTAAATCACTTTGCTGTATGCCTGAAACTAACACAGCATTGTAAATTATAGTTCAATTTTTTTTGAAGATTTTTTTATGTGAACCATTTTTCAGCCTTTATTGAGTTCTTTCCAATATTGCTTCCATTTTATGCTTTGGCTTTTTGGGTTTTGGCGGCCAAAAAGCAAAACCTAAAACGGAAGTAATATTGTGGGATTAGCGCATGGGATCTTAGCTGCCTGACCAGGGATCAAACTCACACCCCATGCATTGGGAGGCAAAGTCTTAACCACTGGATTACCAGGAAAGTCCCAGAAGTTAATATCAGTCTTAAGCCAGAAAAGAACCTTAGAAGAATGTGATTTAATATTAATGTTATTCAAGGTGGTGCTGAATTTACTTCTCCATGGCATATACTTCAATTTTTTAAAATGGTTACCACAAAAAATTTTCTAAGTACTTTGACTTCTTTAAAGAAAGTATCACAGGGACTTCCCTGGTGGTCCAGTGGCTACAAGACTCTGAGCTCCCAATGCAGGGGGCCTGGGTTCAATCCCTGGTCAGGGAACTAGATCCCATATGCCGCAATTATGAGTTCATAAGCTGCAACTAAAGATCCTGTGTGCCACAATGAAGAAGATCCTGTGTGCTGCAACTCAGATGCAGCATAGCCAAATAAATAAATAAACAAATATTTGTTTAAGGAGTACTGAGCACAGGGCCCAGCACACAGTAGGTACTCAGCAAATGGCAGCCAGTTTGCAGTCACAGCAAGTGGGTTAAATGTTTAGGGACACAGAAAGTGTGTCCTAAGAAGAAAAACAATCACTGCAGTACATTAAAAGGACCCATAGTTTAAAACTTATCACCTAGGAGTATTTCTTTCATTGGACAACTTGTTCTTGGCCAAATTTTTTAGGGCTCCAAAATCACTGCAGATGGTGATTGCAGCCATGAAATTAAAAGACACTAACTCCTTGGAAGGAAAGTTATAACCAACCTAGATAGCATATTAAAAAGCAGAGACATTACTTTGCCAACAAAGGTCCCTCTAGTCAAGGCTATGGTTTTTCCAGTGGTCATGTATGGATGTGAGAGTTGGACTGTGAAGAAAGCTGAGCACCAAAAAATTGATGCTTTTGAACTGTGATGTTGGAGAAGACTCTTGAGAGTCCCTTGGACTGCAAGGAGATCCAACCAGTCCATCCTAAAGGAGATCAGTCCTGGCTGTTCATTGGAAGGGCTGATGCTGAAGCTGAAACTCCAGTACTTTGGCCACCTCATGCGAAGAGTTGACTCATTGGAAAAGACCCTGATACTGGGAGGGATTGGGGGCAGGAGGAGAAGGGGACGACAGAGGATGAGATGGCTGGATGGCATCACTGACTCGATGGACATGGGTTTGAGTAAACTCTGGGAGTTGGTGATGGACAGGGAGGTGGCGTGCTGCGATTCATGGTGTCGCAAAGAGTCGGGCACGACTGAGCAACTGAACTGACCTGAAAATATCAGTAGCAGGAGTCAGCACAGTTTTTCTGTAAAGGGCCAGTAAATATTTTAGACCCTTTGAGTCAGATGGTCTCCGTTGAAACATTTCAACTTTGTCACTGCTGAGCAAGACCAGCCATACATAATATGTAAATGAATGGCTGTAGCTGTGTTTCAATAAAACTTTATTTACAAAAATATGTCGTGGGCCAATTTGGTCTGGTGACCAATAGTTTCTCGATCCCTGATCTAGAACCCTGAGGGGACAGCTATGTGACCTTGGGCAGATGCCTTTGCCTCTGAACTTCTTTCCTCACCTACGATGAAAAGATAACAGAACTGCCTTCATGGGGTGTTGGAGGACTCAATGCAGAAAGTACCTTGCACACAGTAGGCATTCGGTAGATGGGAACTGTGAAGTAAGGAAGCCCCTTCCTTCACTGCATCATGGCACATCTCCTGCGTGCCTGTCACCATGCAAGGTGTTTGCAGCACTGAGTTATTTAGAATGCGGTCCCAGCTCTCAGGGAACTAAGGGTCTGGTCAGAGATGGAAGGACAAAGTAGGCAGACCAAAGCACAAAGGATGAGCCCAGGTGGCAGCCAGAGCTCAGAGGAGAGCTGAAGGCCCCAGGGCAGGATCATCTTGTACATCAGCTTTGCTTGATTGGCACTGTCTACCTAAAGTCAGGCTGGTGCAGTGAGACTCTGTGATAGATTAGCAATGCCTGTCACAGGCCCAGCACAGGAGAGGGGGGTACATCTGCTTTTCCTGGGCTGATCCTTGGCAGAAGAGAAGGTGGGAACCCGCTCTTTACCACTGTCATCCAGAGATGTGGTTTGCCAAGCACCTACTATGCACCGAGCCCTGGGGTGGGGGATGGCTTCATTCTCCAGAGGTGCCCAGGGGTGGGGCTGTCCCTGTCCACGGCCACCACCCCCCAGCCCAGGCATCTCTGCGCTTCCCTTTCCAGGTGCCTTGGCCAGGGCGGCTGACCTGCACGTGGCAGCCGCCCCAGGCCACCTGCTCCAAGGCCCACCTGGCATAGCCCCCCAAGGCGTGCTGAGCCTGAGTCCCCTGACCAACCACGGCGCCAGTGTAAGTGCCCCCACGTGGGTCGGGGAGCTAGGGAGGGGTCCCACAGGGCTGGGGTCGCCCTCGACCCTCTGTCTCCTTCTCTCCCGGCCCCAGCAAATGAACCAGTTCGCTGTGGGGGGCCAGCCCTCGTCCAGCCTGCAGAGCCCTCCGCAGCTGTACTCTTCCACCTCGCAATCTCAGTTCCCACTGCCCCCAGGTGTCCAGCAGGTACTGAGGGCTGGTGGGGGGGGGGGCTGGACTCAGAGGCAGACCCTCCTGACTTGGGCTGGCTAGGGATTGCTCTGGGCCTCAGTTTACCCACCTGGAACATGGGAAGAACGTTCTTCACCATGTCATGGGGTTGTTCATTTGATTTTCACCCAAAAACCTGTGCTGGGCGGAGACAAGATGGTCTGCCAGGGCTATAAACCCTGCATCTTTGAGATGGGGGTGCAGCGGGATGATCATGAGTGACTGATGCTCTCTCTCACCATCTCTCTCCCTGCCACCCTTCTTCATCCCCCCACCCCTGATGGGAAGTGTGCTCCTGTGGGCCTGTATGGCTCCCCATTTGGGGCACGGCCTCCCTACCCCCAGCCCCGCATGGCTGTGCATTCATCCCAGGAACTGCACCCCAAACACTATCCCAAGCCCATCTATTCCTACAGGTGAGGTCCTGGAGGGCTGGGACGGTGGGGGACTTGGGGAAGAGAAGGGTGAGGGCTGTCTCGAGGGCATCTCAAGAGAGCTGGGTGTGGTGGCCTAGGCTTCCCAGGGGAAGGAAGGTTTTGGGAGGTGGGGAACCGCCGGGTGGGACCCATTCTTAGGACAGATCATCATGTGGTCAGTCAGTTCCCAGGGTTGAGAACCCACTCCAGACCCTGAGCCCAGTGCTCCACTCTGTCATTCACAAGCTAGCTTTGTGACCTTGGGGAAGTGGCTTGGCCTCTCTGAGCTTCAGTTCCCTCTGATGCAGAAGGTCATCAAATAAGAGTAATGGGTACTTCACAAGATTTGGGGAAGGCAGTTAAACAGCCCAGTTAATGTCTAAAGGCCCAGTAATGATGAGAAAGGGGTAAAAGGAGGAAAAGGTTTCTCAAATTGTTACCAATAGCTGAGCTCAAGGTCAAGGGCAGAGGCGGGAAAGACATAGAGCCACGAAAAGGTATTTAGAGCTAACATTGTGAGTGTCTAGGGGCTGGTACCAGCGGGGTTAAGCAGGGCCAACTTCCTGGCAGAGGGGACCTTGGGCTGTCAGCTTGAGATGCCCTCACATCTGGCCTGCCCCACATTTTGCCTCCAGCTGTCTGATTGCCATGGCCCTGAAGAACAGCAAGACAGGAAGCCTGCCTGTGAGCGAGATCTATAGCTTCATGAAGGAGCACTTCCCCTACTTCAAGGTGAGGGGCCTCAGCCAGGTTGGGGGTGGCTAGAGTGGCTCTGGTCTCTCCCTGGCACTGCTAGAACCTGGGCCAAACTAAACCACCCTTTTAGTCCCCTAGTCATGTCCAAAGACACCTGCAATGTGCACTCACACAGACATGGGCCAAGAAATCCAGAAAGACAAGGGAGCATTTGAGCTGGGCCCTTGATGGATGAATAGGAGTTCACCAGGCATCCCAGGGGCAAAGGCTAGAGGGCCAATCTAGCTATTCAGCTCAGACTCGGTAAAACATAATGATGCAAACACAGAGAAACTGTGTAAAATGAAGAGGGTGTGAGGTGCAATGCAATGTCTGGTTACCTTACAATAAAGTAAGAGCACTTAAAAATTTAATACACATCTAATACACTTGACAAATTATCCACATATTAGCATCATCTCACTTGCTTGTCTCCTGAGTAGGAGAAAAAGAGCAGATCTGGAAGCCTTGGGCCCTCCTCTTTGCCACAGTCCTCACTGCTCTCTCTCGTCTTCCCAATCAAGGTTAAGCATTGGACACTGTCCCCCCTACTCCTCTAGGCCCAAGTCTGAGATTGCCCCTAGGGAGAAGGGTTTAGAGAGAGGTCCCTGCAGAGAGGTCTCCCATGGGCCCATTTCTGCCCCCAGACAGCTCCTGACGGCTGGAAGAACTCTGTGCGGCACAACCTGTCCCTGAACAAGTGCTTTGAGAAGGTGGAGAACAAGATGAGCGGCTCCTCGCGCAAGGGCTGCCTGTGGGCCCTGAACCTGGCCCGCATTGACAAGATGGAGGAGGAGATGCACAAGTGGAAGAGGAAGGACCTGGCTGCCATCCACCGGAGCATGGCCAACCCCGGTGAGGCCCAGGCGCCCCAGCACACGCACATGCATACGCACGCACACGCATGTGCACACGCAGACAGCTGCCATCCACCGGAGCATGGCCAACCCTGGTGAGGCCCAGCGCCCCACCACATGCACACGCACATGCACGCACATGCACACACACACGGCTGCCATCCACCGGAGCATGGCCAACCCTGGTGAGGCCCAGGCGCCCCACCACACACACACGCACGCACGTGCACATGCACACGCGTGCTTGCACCCTGCCCATCCTGCAACGAGCATAGAATCTCACTAACAACCCCAGTGTCTCCCACAGACATGCCACGCAAAGCAACCATGGGAAAGCAAGGCTTCCTTACCTTTCTTACCATACTGGAACAGACTCCCAAAAGTGATAAAACAGTAACACCCAGTATGGGCTACGATGTGGAGAAATCAGCACTGCCACGTACAATTGATGGGAATGTAAAGTGTGAAACTTTCCCAGGGCAAAGTAATATCACGAAACTTTGCAAATTTGGTCCCCAGTTTGGTTCCTTTATTCTACTTCGGGCAGTTTATGCTGAGGAAATCAAAGATTTGAGCAAAAAGTTTATGAACAAAGTTATCCATCATGAAGTGATTTCTGATAGTAAAAAACTGAAAGCAATCTAGACATCCTACAATAGGAGATTAAATAGATATAATATTATACCATGCAAGTATTAGTATTCCAAAAATATTTCTATCTCTAAAAAGAAATGTTCCCAACATGATAAATGAAGAAGCAGGTTATGAATCAATATACCTAGTGTGGTCACATTCTAAAATACATATGTATCCACACCCATTTGTCAATTAATGTATATCTATATAGATATAAATATATATGTATACACAGAGACTAGAAGAAATATATCAAAATCTTTACTGTGAATGGAGAGACCACTGATTTTATATTCTTCATGTTTCTCTATTTTCCAAACTGTCTACCCTGTTCATGAGTTACTTTAGATTAAAAAAAAAAATCAACCTGCTTTTTTTTTTTTTTAATTAAGAGATGTGAAGCTGGGGATATACAAGTGCATGTGAATAGATAGAATGACCTGGGAGGCTAATGCCAGCCAGCCTTCAGAATATTTGGCCTGGCCCTGTGGATAGCATCACACTTGAGGTTTGGGTCTGAAGGGGGATGGGAGTCTAGCTCAGAGATGAACAGTTCAATAAGTTGAGCAGGACCATAGCAGGACCCAGTAGGCCCTTAGCTGCGAGCTCTGGAGTCTGGTTTGATATCCAGGGCTCATCCTGACACCTATTTGGTGTGAGATCTTGGGTGGACCATTTCACCTTCTAGATTCTAAGAGTCCTCATTTCTAAAATGTGTGCAACCCTAGTGGTCCAGTCTCAGAACTGCTGCAGTCAATAAAACACAAGCCAACAACTAAAAATAATTTTGAGTAACTTCCATCTTATTTCTATTGAAGAGCATTGAGGGAGGAGGATCCAATTTTCAGTCCACAGCAATGCTTCATGTCTCTGGCTAGGGCCCCCTGTATGTAATAACTTTTGTCCCAGTCTCGTGGGATTTGTAATCTCTGCCTTACTTCCCCCTTGTAGGCTGTTATGAGGTTTTAGTGAAGTCCTAGAGTTATAGGATTATTCTCTAAAGCACTGTCCCCAAGAGGGGAGCCAGTGTTATCTGAGACCCGTCTCATTGTTCCAAGTCCCTATGTCATTTGTGATTTCATTCCATTTCCACGATCCCGTGTAGAGTGTGTGAGGCCATCTCATAGATGGAGAGACTGACGTTCCGAGAGTCCGAGAGGCTTGCTAAAATCACACAGCTGATAACACTGGGTTTGAATCCAGGCCTGGGCTGGGGGCCCAGGAGCTATAGGGTGGCCTCTGATGGATGACTTCTCCCACTTGCCTTCAGAGGAGCTGGACAAGCTGATCTCGGACCGGCCGGAAAGCTGCCGACGCCCTGGCAAGCCGGGGGCGCCTGAGGCCCCCGTGCTGACCCGCGCCACCACGGTGGCCATGACCCCCAGCTGCCTGGCCGGCCCCCGGCTCCCACCCCAGCCGCTGATGACCCTGTCCCTGCAGTCGGTCCCCTTGCACCACCAGGCGCAGCCCCAGGCACATCTGGCCCCAGACTCTCCGGCCCCGGCCCAGACCCCGCCTCTGCACGCCCTGCCGGACCTGAGCCCCAGCCCCCTCCCCCACCCCGCCCTGGGAAGGGCGCCTGTGGACTTCATCAACATCTGCACCGACGTGAACACCGAGGTGGATGCCCTGGACCCCAGCATCATGGACTTCGCTCTTCAGGGTGAGGCCGGAGGAAGTGGGTGAGGGGAACAGAAGGGAGGGAGTCGGCCAGAAAGACTGGGGGGAAAGAGAGCCGTCAGCATTTACCCCACAGCTCATTCCTTCAGCAAACACCTCCCAAGCGCCTAATCATAGGGAATCACAGCAGGTGTTTAGTTAACACCTACAGTATACCAGGCCTTGTGCCAAGCACTTCGGAGGCATCATCCCATCTCAGCCTGCGACGGTCCTGGAGGCCACTGCCATTTCACACTTCCATTCCGCTGCTGAGAAAACTTAGACCAAGAGAAATGAAGTCCCATTTCTTCATTCAGACTTCATTCGGCCTGAGGCCGCCCAGCTATATGTGGCAGAACTGGTATTTCAACCCAGCCCTCTCTGACCCCACATTTTCAATCAGAAACTGTGTCAACTTGCATGTGCCAGCCTCATGCCAGGTCACGCTCTGACCCACATGGTCACCCTCAGTACACAGGGAATGAATGAATGAACAAGGGAAGTTCAGATTCAATGAGGCCTCGTAAACCACCAATGCATTGGCACACCTACAATGAACCCGCCAAGGGCCGAGAAATCCCCTGCCCTTCAAGGAGTTGCATGTCTAGTGAGGGAACGGGACAAGTTAGCAGGTGAGTTAGTTAGCAAATTACTAACTAGGTCAGTTATAGCTGTGAAATGGGTATGTTTGAACTGCCCCGCCTCTCCCCCGGATTACAGTGCAGCTAAAAGGAAATCATGCTTTTGTCCCCTGACTTTGACCATGATGGTGCCACTTAATGCAGGCCGAGTGCTTCCCACGCACCCCTAGTTTAAGCCTCGCAGTCCTAGGAGGTGGGTTCTCTGATCAGCTCACTTCCATCCAAGGAGCCCGAGGTTCCGAGACAGTGGTGATGTTCCCAAGGACGCGGGGGTGGGGAGGGGAGGACCAGGGCTGGACGCTGGCTCCTCCCTACTGTCCTGTGATGCCGTGAGTTTAAGCCACACGCGTGGTCTTTGCTGCATCCCTAGGATGGGATTCGAACTCCCGTCCATTTGACATGAACGCTCTTGTCTTTGGAAGGGAACCTCTGGGAGGAGATCAAGGATGAAGGCTTCAGCCTGGACACACTGGGGGCCTTCGGAGACTCCCCGCTGGGCTGTGAGCTAGGGGCCTCAGGCCTGACCCCCGTCTCTGGAGGCAGCGACCAGTCCTTCCCAGACCTTCAGGTGACCGGTCTCTACGCGGCCTACTCGACCCCTGACAGTGTGGCCACGTCAGCCACCGCCTCCTCCTCTCAGTACCTGGGCGCTGCGGGGAACAAGCCCATAGCCCTTCTTTGAGCTGAACGCTTCGCCTGCCCCAGAAGGTGGGCCCTGGAAGGATGCTCATGGGGCCAGGTGTTCCCGGAAGGGCCCCCTACCCTCCCACAGGCCTCTGAACCGTGGCTGCTGGCTGACCTTGCCTGACCTCCAGGGGAAGTTTCTGGGCCCTCCTCAAGTCAGCAGGACAGAGGAGAGTGGACAAGGCCCCCGTGACGCTCCTCTGAGGCTTGAGATGCGAGGCCTGGCCAAGCTGAGAACAAGGTCTCTCCAGTCTGCCTCCTCACTGGTTCCCGAACGACCTGCAGCCCACTTTGGGACCAGTGCTCCACAGAAACACCCCGGTGGGAAGGCCTTTAATTTATTCTCCTGGGATGAAACACTTGCCTCAGTCTCCAGCAGACAGGCCCCGAGGCCTGGCAGACTGTCCAACCTTCGTGGACCAGAGCAGGTTGAATGCTGAACCAGGCACCTGCCCCACTGGCCTGCAGGCCCCCTTCCCTCGTAGTCTGTTAGGGTTTCATAGGCAGATTCCTGAGCCCCACCACGCACTGTGACCCTACGTACCTTTATTTATATTTATTGGAGCCCGTCCACGCCACCTCTTCAAACCCTGCCCGTGACCCCTGGAATGAGATTCCCTGGCCCCTCACTGCACCCCTCAATTATCCATACATCACATCTCCAACTGACCCTTAAGCCCTCTGCAATCTTGGGCTGGTTTTTTAGACCAAGCAAGCACTTTTGATACAGTGAAACATGCTTTTTAAAATTAGAGACTGGAACTTGTCCTCATGCTTAGTCATGATTCAAGCCTCTTGACATGTGCACCTAAGAAGGGAGACTCCTAGTTTGGATTTTGGGGGCTTTTAAGGCAGAATGGGATGGGAGGAATGGGAAGGGGTTTTTTTGTACTGGAAATGAAGACACCCCTGATGAAAAGAAAGTTAATTGTGAACCAGGTAAAGCTTGATCCACATGGCTAGTGGGGCTGTAGAAGCTGCAATGCAGAGTATTTATTGGCACTTGTTGGCCTGTCTCATTGCCCCATGACCTTCTTTATGTCTTTTTTCCCTTTCTTGTTGCCAGTGACTGACTTTCCAAGTGGCAGTTTCTACAGATAGTTGGCTTAGAGGGGAGCCAGGTGAGTGGGAAAAAAGTTGGTAACCAGGGGCCATCCATCTAAGCTGAGATGAGAAACCATGGCAACTGCTTAAACCACTGTCCTCTCTGGCCCCACCGGATGTTCAGTTCCTCCATCTGGGAGCTCCCAAACCCTAGAGCCAGAACTTTCTGAGTAATCCACAGGGCTGCCAGCCACCTGGGAGGCTTGGTGTTCAGGCCTGTCTTGAAGGACCATCTCTAACTTCTTCCAAATTCTGGAACTTTCTGCCAAGCATCACCATCATTACTCAGAGCCCAGTGCTGCCTGTCGGAACAGCACTGCCCGCCTACTTTGTGTGACATGACACCACCTCCCATAAGTTAAGCTGCTTGAGTCATTGTTAATGAAGACTGTGTTTGGGCGACCCCAGGACTGTGTATCGTAGTGTTGGAGACCCACCTTCTGTCAATAAAGGCTGAACGCAGCTCTGTGGCTCGGGGAGGCGGGGAGGGAGGGGTAGAGGACAACAGCGCCTCCAGCCCCTCACAGTGGAGACCCACTTACAGGTGGGAAAACAGGCCCGGAGACTAAACACTGGACCAGGTCCTCTGATGCCAGGTTCCCCTCATGCCAGACACTGGGAGGACTGGGTCATTATGGGTAAAATTAGTCCGGCCGCCAGTCCCCACCGCACGGTGCCCGGGCTCTGGACAAGCACTTGCCCAGGCAGGGATGTGAACCCTGCCTACTGCTCAGAAGGCGGGGCTCAGAGAGGGTGGGCCGGACTCGGGGCCCAGTGAGGAGGCAGGACTGAGCCCACGTGTGCCCGGCCCCAGAGCCCGAGCTCAGCCGTGCTCCCCAGAGCTGTCTTCGGTGCCTGCTTGGGGTCCGGGAGGGCAGCAAGGCGGGAGGAGGTACACTCTTTCCAGCACCAGGCCCAGTGCCAGTTAGGGCTGTAAATCAGCTCGTTCGATCCTCGTGACGACCCTAAGAGGCATGTCTTACTATTTGCTATACCCATTTTACAGATGGAGAAGCTGAGGCCCAGGACTAAAGGAGGTGACTTGCCACCCAAGATAACAGTAGAAGGGCATTTTAATTAGCAGTCTGGGACTTTCCTGCTGGTCCAGCGGTTAAGAATCTGCCTGCCAATGCAGAGGACATGAGTTCGATCCCTGGTCCTGGGGCAACTAAGCCCATGAGCTGCAATTATTAAAGTGGCTCAGCCTACGCTCTGCAACAAGAGCAGTCACTGAGATGAGAAGCCCGCGCGCCACAAAGACCCAGCACAGCCAAAAATAGAAATAAATAAATACTTACAAGTCTGTCGAATGTTTAAGCCCATCCAGGAAGGGGCTTGCAGCCTCGCCGGGAGACCAGACTCACACACAGGCAATGATCAGCCAGTAGGGAAGGCAGGGGCCGATTGATGGGGCTGTAGGTGGTACCGGGAAGGGCTGACCAGGCCCCGCTTCAGAGGACAGGCCGACAGTGGGGAGGATGTGCTGCCTTTCTCTCCCCAGCACCCCTCCTCCTCAGCTTGGCTCCCGGGGGGGGCTCTGTGACTTGCGTCCCAGCCCCCAGGCACCCTCGGAGACTGGTTGTGGGCAAGGACTCAGCCGTATGGGTCACAGCCAAAGAGCATCACCCGCACGGTCTGCAGACCCTCTGAAGCACAGGGGGTGCTCTCCTGCTGGGGTGCCCAGCTGGGCGGATGGAGCTCCAGTGTCTGGATCACCACGTGCTGAGGGCTGGGGAGCCCTTTCTTGGGTCTGACATCCATTCCTTACCATAGGCAAGTGGGGCTGGTGTGTACAGAGTAAAGCGAAAATGCCAAGGTCACAGGGTCATGGACTGTGGGCGAGAGCCCGGGTCACAGCCGGAAGACTGCCTGTGCCGGGACTGTGCTGACGCTGGAAGAAAGCAGGAAGGAGACACAGGAGTAAGGCTTCACTGAGAGTCTCTCTGCAGCTGGCTAACTAACTGGTGAAATTGACTCATTGCCACCCTTTAAGGACCTGCTGCACACACACATAAAACACTGTAGGGCTGGGTTTGAATCAGCATGGCCACTTCTCACCAGCTGTGTGACCTTGGACATCAAGTCTGCTCATCTCTGAGCTGAGGTTTTCTTGTTTGTAACAGTGAGGCTAGAACTGTAGCTGCTGCTGCTAAGTCGCTTCAGTTGTGTCCGACTCTGTGCGACCCCATAGACGGCGGCCCACCAGGCTCCCCCATCCCTGGGATTCTCCAGGCAAGAACACTGGAGTGGGTTGCCATTTCCTTCTCCAATGCATGAAAATGAAAAGTGAAAGTGAAGTCGCTTAGTCGTGTCCGACTCTTAGCGACCCCATGGACTGCAGCCTACCAGGCTCCTCCATCCATGGGATTTTCCAGGCAAGAGTACTGGAGTGGGGTGCCATTGCCTTCTCCAAGAACTGTAGCATCCACCCTCAAAAGGCTCATGGGATTGCACGGGACAGAGACCAGGGCACTGTAGGTGGCCAGTGGCCATGACCCTGAATGCTCAGTGTAGGCCTGGGTAGGCAGCCCAGGCCTCTGGGCACACTCGGTGGACTGATTCTTTCTTCTCTGGAGGCGGCTGTGCTAAGTCTCCCAAAGGAGGGAAGTTGATCTCATCGGGGAAGGTCCGTTCATGCTAAACTCGGCATCACCAGCCGGTGGACAGCAGCTTGTGTCCAGATGTGAAATGGAGGTGCAAGGATGAAGCAGTCTCCCTGTGGCCTTCAGGAGGGGGACTCGCATCAGGGCTCCATCCTCCTGAGATGGGGGCTGGCACAAGATCTCAGCAGCGACAGGAGTAGGGAGCATCCCCGGGGAAGCCCCTGCCAGTCTGCCTGCCTGCTCTACTCCAGATAACAAGCCAAGGCCAAAGTGCTTCCAAAAATAATTTATTCCACACATTTCCTGGTAGGTTCTTCCACCCACCATTCCTGTGTCACAGCTAGTCATTGATGTGTCGTCCCTCCCAAACCCGCAGGGACTCCCCAACACGGAAAGAATTCGGTTCCTAAAGCTGCGTGGACTCTTACCCACCCCCATCAGTCTCAGGACACGACAAAGGCTGATTTGTCTTTCTCCCGCCCCTCACTGCACCCACACCACCTACGCTGGCCAGCGCTGTCATCATTGGCCAATGGCCTCAGACACCCCCAGCCTTCCCGCTTGTAGGGGCTTCCCCGGGAAACCTCTCTGGCCTCCACGTTGGCCAGGTGTTAACGTCCAGTGTCCTCAGGCAGACTGCCCGTCACAGCAGTGGAGGGTGGCCGGCTCCCTCCCTCACGGGCACCGGGGACAGATGGACGCGACCGGGAGGATCGCAGGTCCTGACGCTGTGTGGTCTTTGGGGCTGGGTGCTGGTGGCGGCCTCGCAAAGCCCTCCCTGAGCGAATCAGCATGGTGCTCACAGTCCAGTCCTTGGGAACCACCAGTTCTGTCCCTCGGGCTACAGCCCACGACGGACACTGAGGCAGGAGGCGCAAGAGTGAAGGGGGCCCGGAGGGGCCCCCGAGGCAGGTGACGGCAACCACAGGGGGTGACACCTGTGAGCAAGCTGGGCTGCTGAGGTTGGAGAAGGTCTTGCCTCTCTTCTCTGTCCTCCCAGCCCGGGCTGGAGTCCCATTCTCCTTGGAGAGAAGGGGCAGGCAGGGGGCTGTGAACCACGTGAAAAAAAAAAGTCTCCCAACGCCCTTGAGCCTAGGGCTACGCAATTTTCTGCTAATGAGAGAACTAAGCCCAGTAATGGGACTTTGCTAGTGATTACCTAGGAGTCTCGTGGGGAACAAAACACCATTTTGTACTCTTAATTAAAAAAAAAAAATCATTCATACCCTTTTCTGGGTGAGAGGAATTCAAATAAGGATTCAAATAAGCAGACTTCAAAAATATGTTTTCTCTTTCCTCATCTCTCATTTTGATTTCCTTGTTATACTGCTGAAACCTGTGAGAGGCTTACATCAAGAGCTGGTCTTGGAGTAAAAAAAAAAAAAAGAATAAGATTCCACATTCTGATAGAAAATGAGTCTAAAAGAACACCTGGATCCTGCAAGGCAACAGAAAGTGGACGGAAACTAAGTGTTTGGGTTCAATTCAATTCAGTGATGGAGTGAAATGTCTTAAAGAGCTAAAAACCAGACTTCCCAGAAATGGAGAAGGGGCAGTTTCTGCTTGGAAGGGGGCGCTCCTGAGCCTTTTATTAGAACAGGGGTGAGCTGGGGGTCAGCAGCCTTGCAGCAACACCCAGGAGTTTTAAAAAGCAAACCCCCGCGGTCCTGGCGAGGGCCTGCGGTCAGTGGATCGGTGTGGTTTCTCTTGCCCGAGGTCCTGCGAACGACCAGGAGGACGGGGGGGTTAGGTGGAGGCCGGGCCGTCCATGGTGGACAGGAGGTGGATGACCTGGGCCCGCTCAGCCGGGCTGATGTGCTGGCTGATGTACACCAGCGAGTCCATGGCCAGCTCGGGGTTTTCTTGAACCAGGCTGCAGGAGCGGGAGGAGGAGGGCAAGGTCATTTCTCCCACTGAGTTCAGTGGACAGCCCCCCGGTAGCCCCAGAGCCCTGCACAGGGCCTGTCCCACTCCTGGGTGGGCAACCAGCCACCCGGAGCACCCGACCCTCTTCCTGCTGCAGTCACAAATGGGCGATGGTCTTGTGGGGCAGGGAGGCCACACCACAACCTCAAGGAACAACAGTAGACCCTCCTGCTCATGGGTTGTGTGGCTTGACACACACACACTCTCACCCTGAACCTCAGCTTCACCCCCCAGATAGGGTCCCATGCTCTCTGCTCCCTACCCCATGGGGACGCGGGGAGCAAGCCCTCCAGAAAGGATCATACCCAGCAGGAGCTGGCAGTGCAAGGACTAGGCATTCAGAACGTGGTTGTCTAAACAAACCCCCTTTGGCCGTGACCTTGGATGAGGTCTAACCAGGATAACGAATTTAAATCATTGCACTCCCCCCAACCCCACGCCGACGGCATCCCCAGGACTCAGGGCTGGGAGACCTGGCTTGGGGGGAGTGGCGGCCTCTTAGCTGGGGGGCTGGGCTGTGGACCCCGACCCCGTGGCGGAGGCCGTGGACCGTGAGATGCGGTGGATTCGAGCGGCCGCTCTGGGGTGAGGTGAGGCAGGCGGGATGGCCACTCACCCCTGGATGGTCTTGAGGACGGAGTCCCGCTTCAGGCAGGCGATGTTCTCGCGGATGGTGGAGTGCAGCCCCTCGCCCGCCTGCCAGTGCTCCTGCAGCCACCGCACCGCCGTCTGGTTGTTGTCCCAGAGGTAGGCCTGAGAGAAAGCGTCAGTCGCTCAGTCGTGTCCAACGCTGCCTCCCCATGGACTGTAGCCAGCCAGGCTCCTCTGTCCATGGGATCCTCTAGGCAGGAATACTGCAGTGGGTTGCCGTTTCCTCCTCCAGGGGAGCTTCCCTGCCCAGGGATCGCACACACGTCTCCTGCACTGCAGGTGGATTCTCTACCATCTGAGCCCCGGGGAAGGCACAAGATAGGCCTGGGGTGGAGGTTGAGGCTGCATCAGTGAGGGACCCCTGATGGCCGGGCGGCCCCCTTGGGCCCCCGCGCGCGCGCACGCATCTCTGCCGCAGGCCCACCTTGACGGCGCCCTCCGTCTCCACAAACCAGCGGCGCAGCATGGACTGCACGTGCATGTGGCTGAGCTCGGGGCAGGCGCTCAGCACCTCCTGCTTCACCTGGCCCTCCAGCAGCAGGCGGCGCAGGCGCCAATACAGGAAGCTGCGGGCTGTCTTCCACTCCAGGATGTCCTGTGGGCAAGCCGCAGGCCTGAGCGCCCCCCGGAATGCGGGAGGGCCTCTCTGGGAGCTGCCTGGGCCCGGCCCTGCGATCACTCCCATTTCACAGGCCGGAAAACCGAGGCTCGGAGAGGTAGCAGAGACAGGACACTGCCCCGTCTCTGGACCACCTCCCCTGGTATACACCCAGTGCCCAGCTCCACCTCCAGACCCAGAACATGGGCTCACGAGGGGCGTGGAGGGCCTGGAGAGGCAGGAAGGAGCCCAGCACGCAGGGGTGTTCAGGACTGGGGATGACCTCGTGGGGACAGGGCAAGAGGATGGGGTTGTGACCATCAGTGGTGGGGGAGTGCGTTGTGGGAACAACGGTCCCAAACCCGGCCCAGAGGTTCTGAACACACACACGGGTTGGACTGGTGGTTCCCAAACTTGGCGACCTACTAGAATCTTGGGGATTTTGGGAAAAAAAATACTGATGCCTGACTCCCCGCCCCCCACCCCCATATTCTGATTCAATTGGCGAGCCACCTGGGCACTAGGGTTTTTAAAAAATACTTATTTATTTTTGGCTGCATTGGGTCTTAGTTGAGGCATGCAGGTCTCCTTCCAGTTGTGGAGAGGTGTGCGGGCTTAGCTGCTCTGTGGCATTGGGATCTTAGTTCCCTGACCTAGGATTGAACCCACGTCCCCTGCATTGGAAGGTGGGTTCTTAACCACTGGAGTTGTTTCTGTTGTTTTGTTTTTTTTAAAAAAAAGATCCCCAGGTGATTCTCACGGGTGGAATTTGCCTCATCCCACAGGCCTGAGTGCAAATATTCTCTGTGTGTTGGACACCAGGTGGCCTGAGCCTCGGCCGTTCACACAGACTCCGGCGCCTCAGGCTCTTACGTAAATGACGCCCTTCTCCAGCATCCTGCCCGCCTTGTCGTGGAGGTCGGCGAACTGCACCGCCACCTGGTGGTACATGGGCAGCAGCAGGTCCTCCCGGGCCTTCAGCTGGCCCTCCAGCTCCTTGCGGTCCGTGTCCGAGAGCTCAGACATTCCTGCAGGCAAGGCAAGAGCCAGGGTTTGCAGGACAGGCCTGAGCTTTAACCCTGATGGTGCTCCCAAGCCAAGTTGCTCCTGCACCCTCAAAAATGCACCCAGTGGGAAAAAACAGCCGGTTCCCACTAGCAACCTGTTTTACACGTGGGAGTAAATGTGTTTCAACCCCAACCTCCCAATTCATCCACCCTCCGCTCCCTGCTCTGTGTCCACACGTCCATTCTCTAGGTCTCTGTTTCTGCCCTGAAAATAGGTTCATCTGTAGCATTGTTTGACTGCACACACACATGTTAATATATGATATTTGCTATTCTTTTTCTGATGGCTCAGCTCAGTGCTCTCTGATGACCTACAGGGGCGGGAGGGGGGTGATGGTGGGAGGGAGGGCCAAGAGGTAGGAGACGTATGTTCAAGGAGGACTCACCCCATTGTACAGCAGAAACGAACACGTTGTAAAGCAGCCCAACTCCAATAAAAAAAAAAACGCACCCAGATTTGCAAGACAGTGTTCAACTCTCAACTTCAAATGTGTTCCCTTTCATCAGGCCCACTGCACTTACAGGACACATCAGTTACTGTTTTTAATTTACATAGTAAAATCTAATAAGGGAATATTATAAACAAGTCTATGCCAATTTGATAATTTAAATGAAACAAACTCCTTGAAATAAAACAAACTACGAAAGCTCGCCTAAGATCAGAGAGATTAAACTGAACAGTCCTATGTATAAAAAAGGAATTGAATTTGCAGTTGAATTGTAAATCTTTGCTATCAAAGATTTAAACAAATAATGCCAACTCAGACTCAGAAAACAGAGGGGGGAACACTTTCTGATTCACCCTATGATATCAGCATCACCCTGATACCAAACCAAAGAAATTATATACCCATCATCACCATCATCATAAATCTTGTGAATTTCTGATGACATAGATCAGTTATAAAGGCAATACTACCTCATATGGATTTTTAAAGAGAATTACAAATAAGTTGCAAGTGAAACAAACCTATCACTCAAACAAAATTAGTAAAATGCCTGATGGAAAAATTCTAAAGGGTAATTTTGCTACCAAAATTCAAATGTTTCTCATTGGCTTGAATACTTCAACTATTCTATATTGTGTGTGTTGAGAAATTACATTCACTAAGGCACTGTGTACATTTTTTAATGTTAAAGGGGTTGATAGGATGTGTGGGAACGTTTGAAACATCTCACAGTTGGTGCCGCTGAGTTTTGGTTTGTCTTCACTGTTTTTAACATACTAGAAGCCTCCAGCAATGAGTGGGCTGAGCCCTTTCATGACCTCTGACAGGTGATACGTTTCAGACCCACTCACCAAGCTGTTCCACAAGCTTCTTGGAAACGGGGTCGATTCTTCTGATGGTCTTCACCAGATCTTTCTTCCGGTACTTAATCTCCACTGTTCCCTCTGGCTCCAGAACACTCACTCTGAAAAAACCCAGCAGCAGGGGGAGGTGTGTATGAGGTATTCCCCAGCAAGCGACAGCCAGAGGACACGGCGGGGGGGGCAAGGCTGCCAGGAAATCTGGTGGCAGTCCCCGACTCTGTAGTTGGCTTTCTGGATGGCCTTGGCCGAGTCACTTCCCCTCTCTGCTCACCTGCTTTTCTATCCAGATAATGAAGATTAAACCAGTTTTTAAAATAAAGTGTTCCAGGACTTCCCTGGCAGTCCAGTGGCTAGGACTCTGTGCTTCCACTGCATGGGACAATCCTTAGTCAGGGAACTAAGATCCTGCATGCCATGGCACGGCCGAAAGCTAAAAAAATAAAACCAAATGTTCTGACCTCTGGAAGGCCCTTTCAGAGACAAGAGTGTGCGACTTTTTTCCAGAACAGCATATCCCACCAGCTCTTCAGCCTCAGTCCTCTCTGGCTCTCCTAATCTCTGCTCTCCCCAGGCCAGGGTGGTGATGGTGTTCTCCAGTCATTCAGTTGTGTCCGACTCTTTGCGACCCCATGGACTGCAGCACACCAGGCTTCCCTGTCCTTCACCATCTCCCAGAGTTTGCTCAAACTCATGTCCATTGCATCAGTGATGCCATCCCACCATCTCACCCTCTGTCGCCCCCTTCTCCTCCCACCTTCAATCTTTCCCAGCATCAGGGTCTTTTCCATTGAGTCAGTTCTTCGCATCAGGTGGCCAAAAGTACTGGAGATTCATCTTCAGCATCAGTCCTTCCAATGAATATTCAGGGTTGATTTCCTTTAGGATGGACTGGTTTCATCTTGCTTTCCAAGGGGCTCTAAAGAGTCTTCTCCAGCACCACAGTTGGAAAGCACCAATTCTTCGGTGCGTAGCTTTCTTTATGGTCTAACTCTCACATCCATACATGACTACTGGAAAAATCATAGTTTGACTATCAAAGCTTTGCTTTGTTGGCAAAGTGATGTCTCTGCTTTTTAATACGTTCTCTAGGTTTGTCATAGCTTTCCTCCCAAGAAGCAAGCATCTTTTAATTTCGTGGCTAAAAGGTATTCTTTAATCTCCTTAAAGCACACAAAGTCCCATGGAGGAATCCAAGATATGAGTGGCCCCCTCCATTCCCAACCCTCTTACCCCACCCCTTGGTTTCCCCCTGCCCCTTTCTCTTCTGACAGCTTGGAAGCCCTGACCAATACTACATGTAGCTCTGAGCCTCCTGGTGACCAGAGTGAAAAGTTAATGTGACCCTATTTGGGACTGCTCTCGTCCTGAGCCTTCTGAAAGTCTGAGCTCAGCAGCCTCCCGTGAAGGTCACAGGGCACTGAAGGCAGGACAGGCTTGGCTCATTTGCACCATATCACGAGGCCTGAGACTTAATGCCTGAGACGTAGTAGGTGCTCAATAAATATTCACTGAATTGAGGAACGAATAAGGGAGTAGACGCAGGAGGAAGGTGCCTATCTATACCTTGAGCAGAATTCTTCTTTTTAAAAAATGCTTGTTTTATTTATTGGGCTGCTCTGGGTCTGAGTTGCAGCATGCAAAGTCTTCGTCATGGCATGTGGGATCTAGTTCTCAGACCAGGGATAGAACCTGGGTCCCCTGCATTGCAAGCACAGAGCCTCAGCCACTGGACCACCAGGGAAGTCCTGGGCAGAACTACTCTTGGGGCCTTCACATTCTGCACAGCATTTGGCATAGTCTTCATTTTGAAGGCACTCAAACACCGAGTCACAAGCATTATCCTCTCTGGAAGAATCTATCTGGGATAGATTCCCACTTTAAAAAAAAAAAGTGCCAGTTCTCTCCCCTGAGGAACTGGTGTCCTCTCATGCAAGTATACATTTTAGTCATTCGTTTGTCCAGTATTTCCCAAGCACCTGTTAGGAGTCAGGTACTGTACTAGGCCCTAGGCTATAACAATAAATAAGAATGAATAAAACATAGCTTCTACAGAACAGTTCTGGGGAAGACTCAGAGTCCAGTAAGAACTAGATGCCTAATCATATTTCCCTTTTCACCTTGGCTGCCAGGAAGCTCAGGTGCTTTCAGTCTTTCTTTTTTCCTTGGCTGCACCAGGTCTTCATTGCTGCACAGGCTGTCTCTAGCTGTGATGAGTGGGGGCTACTCTCTAGATACGGTGCTCAGGCTTCTCGCTGTGGTGGGTTCTCTTGTTGTGGAGCATGGGTTCTAGAGTGCATGGGCTCAGTAGTTGTGGTTTGTGAGCTTAGCTGTCCCGTGCATGTGGGATCTTAGTTCTCAGACCAAGGAGCAAACCTGTGTCCCCTGCATTAGCAGGTAGATTCTCAACCACTGGACCATCAGGGAAGTCCTAATTAATTAATAATCAATCAATTAGTCAACTATATTTTAATATATTAATATGTATTGTAATTATTGTATTAATTAAATAATTAATACAATGATTATATCACATATATTATTATATTATATATAATAAAGTATATAATATATATGTATAAATATAATATAATATAATTATATATAACATATATAATTATATAAGTTATATTATACTATTATATACATATATTATATATTATAATATATTATTATGTTATATATTATATATAATATATAATACATATATATAAATTTATAACTGTTTATAAATAATATATAAATATATTTTATATATACAATATATAATATATATTATATATAAATTTATAAATAACATATATTATATATAGAACAAATATATATATATTTGTATATATACATTGTATATATACAAATATATAATATATAACATATATTCTATATTATTCTATATTAATTATATATATTATAATTATATATTATTATTTTTATATTTTCTTTAAGTGATTCCAAATCTCCTTGGGAAACAGGTGAGTGTAAATTGTGAAAGAGCAAACTACAATTCCTCCACTACTTCTGGGCTCCAGTCACTAATTATACTGAGAAAATCCAGTAGCATGCTGGATGCTGGTTTCAGACTGGGAAAACTAGAGTCTCTCCATCCCTTTGGAAGTTCAGAACACCCCTGCGATCCCCAGAGTATGACTCAAAGGGCATGGGGCCTCAGGACTGGGAGTGAGAACAAGAAAGTCGGGGCGGGGCTGGGGCGGCGCACCCACCTGCTCTCTCTGTCCGCGTATATCTCTATGCACAGCGGGTTGATGGAGGTGTCCATGACCGCCCAGGAGCCCCCCCGGACCTCCCCGTAGGGCGGGATGTAGATCAGGACGGGCTGTCTGTACGTCCGGAGGCCGTCCACGATGTAGGCTCCGAACTTTAGCACCTGGTCGTACATGTCTGAAAAGCAAGGCAGCCACCCGTTGAGATGACCTCAGGCCCACCCCTCACTGCCCAGGGGTTGTGGAAAGGCTATCCTGGGGCCAGGAGGCAGGATCAAGGCACAGAAGGCTCCCTAGGGGCCTGTGTGACCTTGACCAGGTCCTCCTCCCTGCCGGGGTCTCAACGTTCCTACCCAGAAAAGGAGGCATAGGCTCATCTCTAAGATCCCTTCCAGCCATGGCTCAGAGATGCCCCTGGCCTGTCCCACTGTTTTCAGAACAGAACCCTCTCCAAGGATAACAGTCTCTTCCCTCCTGCCCACAGGGCAGATGGTCCTTATTTTCTACCAAGGCACATCCAATTAGGCATGGTACATGGAAACAACAGCACAATAACAAAATCTGGGACCTCACTGGTGGTCCAGGGGCTAGGACTCTGAGTTCCCAATGCAGGGGGCCCAGGTTCGATCCCTGGTCAGGGAACTAGATCTCACACACTGTAAGTAAGACCTGGCACAGCCAAATACATAGACAAATTTTTTTTTCATTTATTTTTATTAGTTGGAGGCTAATTACTTCACAACAGACAAATATTTCTTTAAATAACTGAAAATCACACTGAGAGTAACCACCACGTGCCAACGAACCCTCACCTTGGCCCTCTGAGGTTGGCTCTATTCTTACCCCTCTTCGCAGAGGAGGGAAACTTCAGCTTGGAGCAGTCCCCACCCAGCAAGGACGCAGACCAGGTCTGCCCGGCCTCAGTCCAGCTCTTTCCGAAACATCCCACTGACAGCCTCTGTCACTTGAAATGCGCTCAGTGCCTTAAGAAGCACTTGCATTTGGTGTCACATCACTGAGACTCGCAGTAGCCTCCTAAGGAGGGCAGATGCCTTCTCATCTTCCCAAGCAGGGAGGTGACAGCCCAGGTCACTTGGCAGCTTCCCGGGGCCACCCCTGCCTCCCCTGCCCCTCCCCGCATGATGGGGACCTCTGGCAATTCACACTGAAAGCCCTCAGTTCCCTGACAGCTCCCGTCTGCAGGGCTGCAGCTCAGCTAAGATGATGATGCTGTGACCCCACGGGAGTGGTCCAGGGTTCTGACCCCGAGGCTTCAGGGCACCCACAGGAAGGCCACTTTACCTTTCATGCCCCCGGAGAACCCCCTCCAGTTGGCAAAGATCATCAGGGGCAACTTCTCCCGGTTGAAATCATTGATGGCCTGGGCCGTCTTATAGGCCGAATCTGGGAACCACACCTGGCCAGCCTGCTGGATTATCTGGAACACAGAGCGGCCTGCGTCAGACTCCCCTGAGTGGGCTGGCCACTCACACAGCACCCTGGAGGGCAGGCAGTCTGACTGGCCTCAGTGACAACACCAGAGATGGGGCTCAGATGCGAGTCTCACGCTGCAGCCCGGGCAGACTCCTGTTGCCGTTGATAGGTGCCAAGCTAGTAAAGGCCACCTTGAGTAGGGTCCCAGGACCCGCCCTCTGACTTCTGAACTCCTCCCAGGGTGCGGTGTGGCCCACCCTGGAAACAGCAACAGTGACAGGGGAAGGAGCAGGGAGGGATTCCTAGGGACCCGTCATCCTCTGAAGAAGACAGTGTGGAGCACCACGCATCCTGCAGACACCGTGCTGGGGCCCCCACCCCACCCCACTCCAGATCCAAGGATGCCTCTGAGTCTCTGAGCTGGAAAAACAGACATGTGAGCACTCAGGACCTGCTCCTGTCAGCTCAACTGGCCTACACAGCAGACCCAGCAAAACCACACTCATGGCCGTCAGAATGGCCATCATCAGCGATCTGCAGAAACAAATGCTGGCAAGGATGTGGAGAAAAGGGGACCCTGGAACGCTCCTGGTGGGCATGTTAACTGGTGCTGCTACTATGGAAAACAGTAAGGAGGTTTCTCAGAAAACTAAAAATAGAACTGCTATACAACTCAGCAACTCTATTCCTGGGTATGTATATATATAGCCCAGCACTAATTTGAAAATACACACGCACCCCAATGTTCACAGAAACACCATTTACAGTAGCCAATATACAGAAGTAACCCGAGGGCCCAACAACAGGTGAATGGATAAAGATGATGTGGTATATATATACAATGGAACACTGCTCAACCACTAAAAACAATGAAATTCTGACATTTGCAGCAATGTGGATAGATCTAGAGAACATTATACATAGTGAAATTAGTCAGACAGAGAAAGACAAGCACTGTATGTTATCACTTTTATGGAAAACCTAAAAAATAATACAAATAAACATACATGCAAAGCAGAAACAGACTCACAAAAATAAAAACAGGCAAAAAATAAACCAGGTAGTTACCAAAGGTGAGACAGAAGATGGGAGGGACAAATTAGGGGTATGGGATTAAGAGATACAAACTGCAATGTATAAAATACAAAAGCAAAGAGGATATAATGTATAGCACAGAGAAATATAGCCATTATCTTGTAACAACTTTTAATGGCATACAAGCTGTAGAAATGCTGAATCACTATGCTGAAATGAACCACCTGAAATTAATAAAATTTGTAAGTCAACTACACTTCAATAAAAAAAACAAAACATGCAAAGAGCCAGCTCAGCTCCCTGGCCCCTAACCTTGGCCTCGGAATCCAGGTTGGCAGGGTCAGCAGGCACGACCACCTCCACTGTCCGCGTCTCTGTGGCGATCACTCCGACAGGGATGCCCCCGAGCCTGCAAGGTGGACCACAAGTGGGCAGGGGTACGGGGCAGCACCCCAGGCTGGTTCAGGGGGCAGGTGGGTCCGGCCAGCCCAGGCTGATATTCTACAGGCATGCGGGCTGGGATAAGGGTAGACAGAGAAAAGTGTGCTGTTTTCAACTTGGCTCTGAAGTGGTGAAAAGCCTCACAAACAAGCAGGCTGGAAAGGTCCTCTGGGTGCCCGTGTTGGGGCAACAGCTGCCGGGGTTGTGGGGAGGATCGGGCCAAGGCAAGGATGGGAGCAGCATCGTCCCCTAGAACTTTCTGTGATGATGGCCATGTCCTCTAGCAGCCTGACTAGTGTGGAGCTGTGAGCTGCACGTGACCACGGGAAATCTGAAACATGGCAGGGATGGCTGAGGAACTGAAAATGTGACAGGCTCTTTCACTGTGTGATTCACCTGAATTTGTGCTGTCACGCGTGGCCAGCAGCCACCACGGTGGACAGCACGGGTCCGGACACCATGCCACATTGGGAAAGGATGGAGGTATGCTAAGCCTGAGCAGCTTCAGTTATGGGCGGTCCATGGCATCAGTCTCCATCAGCAACTGCCGCCGGCTGCCCCTGGCCACCTGCATCACTTGATTCCTCTCGGTTATGCTACCAACGGTTTACGGGGCAGGTTTGGGGACAGCAGTCTTCAAATTAAGCGCTTCCATGTGGAAGGGGGAGTAGATCTCATCTCAGGTTTAAAGAACACATTCCAGGGGATTTACCTGATGATCCAGTGGTTAAGAATCCACCTTCCAATGCAGGTACCATGGGTTCGATCCCTAGGTGGGGAACTAAGATCCCACATGTTGTGGGGCAACTAAGCCCACATACTGGATGAAGACAGTGCAGCCCCCCCAAAAGAAGGACATTTGAAAAAAGTAAAACACTTATGGAGAAGCAATCCCAGTAATAGACTTAGTATTTTAACAGTTATTACAGAGAAGTAAATAACAACAATAATGGCAGCTGCTATTAATACCATTATGGAGTGCTTATGATTTTTTAAATGCTTTTTATTTATTTAAAAAATATTAAATACCATGTGGCACTTGGAATCTTAGTTACCCAACCAGGTGTCAAAGCTGCACCCCCAGCAGTCGAAGCAAGGAGTCTTAACTGCTGGACCACAGAGGAATTCCCCATTTGTGATATTTTAAGTGCCTGACACATTACCACTTCTAGTCATCACAACAAGCCTTCAGGAGTGGGAAGGGGTAGAGTTATGAGTCTCATTGTACAGATGAGGATGCAAAGGCCCAGAGAGGGTGAGTACCAACAGAGGTCTGACTCCAGACCCTGAACTTGTAGCAACTGCCTTGTGCCAGGAATCTGAGTGGTAAATTATGAGGCTGTTGCTTTGGGCTCCATAAAAGGAAGAACTCTGGGGCAGTTGGACTCATCCCAAAGAGAAGGAGTGAGCTCAGCTTTGAAAGAATCCAAGCATTTACGCCTTCTGCCAGCTCTGGTATACAACAGTGGTTCCTGCCCGTGGCCCTCCTAAATGGAGTTCATAGTTCTGACTGTCTATGTGGTTTCCCAGAGAGTACCAGGGCCACCTTCTGATTCCCAAAGGGGTTCATGGCCCCCCCTGGTGAGGGTGCCCTGGCCCAGGGGCAGACACAAGGGGCAAGGGTCCTGGCCCCCAGGAAGAAGTTGGTGGAGACGTCTTCTAAAGTTACGGACAAATCCAGACTCTGTGAAGAATTTCATCAGCCAGAAACACCCTCCTTCATTGGTTTTTCTTTCAGAAAATCCAGGGCCAGAGAGAAAGCATCACTGAGGCCACCTGGGCCGGCCCTCAGGGTTACCTTGCTCGCCCCGTCACCACAGTCTGGGCCCAGGGCACCATGATCTCCTTGAAACTGCCCTGGTCGAAGAATCCACTCTGCCAGGATCCCTTCAGAGCTGCGGGCAGAAGGGCGGAAGCTCAGGCTGGGGGCTGGTTGCTGAGGGCCCCCGGTGTCCACCTGGAGGGCAGACTCCTCTGCCGTCTCTCTAGGACAGCCTGACGTTGGCAGCCTAGATACCTTTATTCCTGGAAAACGACAACATTTCCCTGCCCGCCCCCAACACACAAAACCAGGGCTGCCAAACACTACACCAAATCAGGAAGTCGGTCCATACAGAAGATCCAACCACATCAACATCCTTCAACGCCAAACACGAGGAGACCCTAGTCGCAGTCTCTGCCTTTTCTTCTCAGGAGCCAAAAAGAGCAGATGGCTGCCTTTGGAAGGCACGATTTCAGAAGGGACCGCCTGCCCAGAAAAAAACTCATCCCGGACCCAGTGGCTGCAGCCCCAAAGTGTTTAACTGGGAAGAACGTGTTCCATTGAGAGACAGAGAGGCAGAGAAAGGGAGAGTCAACAAGTGGATGTCAACTGCGGCCATCCCGGGGAGGACGCGGTGCCTGCAATCCACACCGCAGTGTACGTGACTGTGGCTTGGACACGAGGAGGCAGGTAGCGGGAGAGATCTCACTTTGCAGGAGTAGGGGGGCTGGGTCCCTGTGAACAAAGCACCCCAGCCTCAGGGTCTGCCTGAGGGCCAGCCCAACTAGCTGGAGCAAACGGTCAGTAACACATCAGACATTTTTTAAAAGTCAAGCTAAAGCCAGCGCTCACAGGCGAGAAAGCCTGAGAGAAACGGCAGGGGTGGGGATCAGGCCATGGGGCATCTTTCACTGGTGGAGCCTGGCATGCTCCTGGCGGCACCTCCATTGCCCCACGCAGCTGGAAGGGGAGGCTGAGTTCTAAGGCTGAGTTCTAAACGGGGCAGCGTGTGAAATTCTAGAATCAGGATTGTGGCAACAGGGGCAGCTCAGCTTTCCAGTTCTGTCCTGGTTGCTCAGAATGTAATCAGATACCTCCAGGAGGCCAACCTGTCCCTTGGGGCGGGGAGGGGAGACAGGGAGAGAGGGAGAGAGAATGTGTGCATGTGCAAGCATGTGCGTGCACACAGGTGTGTTTGGATATATGTGTGCACATCCACATGTACGTCTACAAATGGAGCTGCAGAAGAGGCAAAGTTGCTCATCCTGGGTAAACTCAGGGAGAGTTACCTTATGAAGGTTTAAGCCAAATAGAAAAAGAAAGAGAGAGGGACAGAGAGAGAGAAGCGCTCTTCTCTCTGAAACCCTGAGATTTCAGCCCCAGAGTTTCCACCTATGTGACCACATCTGGGGCAATTTTTAGGGAAGGAGGTCATGACCTCTGCTACTTTTCACCTCCATCCATCAGCTCCAGAAACCGCAGGCTGTTTCCACCCCTTCTCGGTCATCAGCTTGGGAAAAACACAGAGAAAAATCTCCATTCTTCCATCCCCTTTTGCATTTGACCTCAGGTGTGTCCCTTGGGGATAATCTTCTACTGACTCGTTCTTTTATCTTGGTGGCAGAAAAGAAACCCCAAGACCCCGGGCTCAGGCAAAACCCTGGAGGGACCTACTTGGGTGAGGTCTTCCTGCAAGCAGCCACCGGGGGTCGTAGGGCCCGCGAGACGGTTGGAATTCAATTTCTCTGTCAATGGGGTCCTTGGGTGTGATGACTGGGACTGGGCTGCGATTATCCTAGGAAAGAAAGTCAGGTCTCCCACTCGGTCCTTCGGGCTCATCAATAACGTCTGCGGTTCGCTCTTTGCCCTCCTTTTCCCTTTTGACTATGGTGATGCCTAGTTACACAGCAGAAGCCCAACCCAAAGTAGGTCATCATCACAATTAGGAATAGCATTTGGCTGAGGGCCTGCCAAGTGCTGCGCTCCACACATCATGTCACTGAGTCATCAATGATAACACCCTGGGGCAGGTGCCATTGTTATTCTCACTTTACAGATGAGGAAACTGAGACTTAGAAAGACTAAGAGATAGTCCTGAGGTCTCATGGCTACGAGAAGGAAGCCAGGAATCAAATCCAGCCTGCTGCAAAGCCTGAGGGTTCTCTGTTGTCCACGTTACCTCTTTTGATGACAGGTAATATCACCTCTTTCTAAAGGATCGACACACAGCCTCCTTACAAAATCAATTAAAAAAAAAAAAGCAAAGAACTGTGAGTACAGGGCTGGGCATCAGAGAGGGAAGGAAGAGAAAAGAAAAATTAACCCTAGGCACAATTTCAGTGTTACCTACTCCCTACCCTTCCACATCACCTGGGAAATGAACCAGATAACAGAGTCTTCCAGGCTCCAAGCTTCAAGGGGGAGGGGGGGAAGGATACTGCACCTTTGGCATATAGGACAGCCACTCCAGGATGGTACAAACACCCTCGAAGTCATCTGGCACAGTGACATGCGAGATGCCATTGTAATGCATGATCTGCACACCTCCCAGCTGGTTGTTGGACGTATAAACATCTCTGCCCAGGACCTGCTTTGACATGACACGGTTAGCAAGGTCCTGCCTGACCCGGGGCCCTTCCATCTGTTCAGAAGTCACCTCCCTTGGTGGTCCTCAACCCTGGCTGACTGCATGTCAGAATCACCTGGGAGTTTTCAAAAGTCCTGATGTCCAGGCTGCAGGCAGCCAGACTGATTACATCAGAATCTCGGGTACTTGTTGTTTTGTTTTTTTTTTTTCCAACTTCCAGATAATTGCATTATGTGGCCCAATTTGAGAACCAGTGATCCAGCTGGTGACTGGTCATCTCCAGGCAAAACCCAACCTAGCGTTGCTGATGGAGCAGGTCTACGGTGGGGCCAGAGAACTTTTCATTTTTATCATGATCCCAGGTAATGCTGATGCTTCTGGTTCAGGGGCCAGACTTTGAGACCCACTGTGGGATTTTTAGCAGACCTGATGTTAGGGAGGTTTCACAGCATTGTGGAAGGCATTTCAAGACAGTGAAAACAGCCACACGAAACTATGTTCACTAGGAGTCTAACTAAGTAAAGACATGAGATGAGAGGAAAACTACCCAAAAAGGGACAAAATTGCTTTTTTTTGAGGGGGGGTCTTTTCCCAATTTTCTGCAATGTGTAATGCTATTTTAATAATTTTTGAAATTTCAATTACAGTAACACAGAGAGTTAGTTCCACCAGGAGGGCCTAACACATACAGTGTTGCTGTTAAGTCACTCAGTCATGTCGGACTCTTTTTTGACCCCATGGACTGGAGCCCGCCAGGTTCCTCAGTCCATGGGATTCTCCAGGCAAGAATACTGGAGTGGGTTGCACTGGAGTGGGAAATGGCAATTTCCTTCTCCGGGGGATTTTCCTGACCCAAGGATCGAACCTGCATCTCCCGCTTTGCAGGCAAACTCTTAACGCTGAGCCACCAAGGAAGCCCAATACACACATATATGTATCTATCTATCTATCTATCATATATGTTAGCTCATAAGAGGCCCATATAACTGCCAAGTGAAAGAACAGCACTTGTAACAGCAGGGATGGAACTGGTTTCTTTTTTCCTTTTCTTGCCGCATCATGTAGCTTGTGGGGTCTTAAGTTCTCCGACCAGGGATTGAACCCGAGCCCTCAGCAGTGAGAGTGTGGTGTCCTAACTGCTGGACCACCAGGGAATTCCTGGAACTGCTTTCATGTTGAGAAAAATTCCCCAGTGGGAACACTGGGAATGTCAGAATGACCCCGCCCCCACCCCGACATGTCCACTCCCCGGCCGTCCCTGCAAGGTGGTCACCTTGTTGAGAGCCGTCGCCCCCGTGAGGATGATGTGGGAATTCTCAACCTGGATCACTCGCTGGCCCAGCCTCACGAGGTAGGCCCCGATCCCGAGGGCCCGGCAGGTCACCTGTGGAGACAGGACCCCTCCTGCATTCCTCGGGGCCAGGGCCCCACTGCCCACAGCGGGGACAGTCCAGGAACCGCTAAGCATGCATGGAAGCTAAGCTTGGCCACAGGCATCCTGATTGGTGGCCGGACAGCATGGGCACAAGCCTGTCCTTCAGGCTGCCTGACCTCGACCTCCTGTCCAGAGAGAATGGGGCTGGCGAGGAAGAGCGTTGTCAAGACTCACAGCAGACGTGCAATGCTCTGGCTCTTGCTTTAAGAGGCATCTCTGTGGCTCTACTGAGTTCGGTCACTCCTGAGACATTGCACACATTTCATACAACCAAAGGAAGCCTAGGAGGGCAGGTGAAACTGGGGAAGGATGATCGAGGTCTGTGTCGAGTTAACAGTATCGTGCGTGTCAGTGTCCCTTTTCTGATCACGTACGACGGTTACATAGACGCCGTCACACGGGGGCTGGACGAGGGGCGCCCAGGACCTGCCTAACCCATCTCATAACTTCCGATGCGTTCTAAGCTATTTCAAAATAGAAAGATTTATACAGGCAGACTTCGTTTTATTGTACTTCATGGATGCTAAGGTTTATTTATTTTTTTTAAACAAAATTTGTGGCAATCCTGTGTGTCAGATGAGGGTTAGCATTTTTTAGCCATAAAGAACTTTAAAGTGTATACAGTTTGAAAAGACATAATGCTATCGCAGACTTAACAGACTACAGTATAGTACACACATAACTTTTACATGGATTGAGAAACCAAAAAATCCATGTGACTTGATTGCAATCTCCACTTCAATGCTATATTCATTCACTTTATTGTAGAGTTATGGGGCCAAACCTGTGACATCTCTGAGGTGTGCCTGTCTGTATATATATACATAAATATAAATTAAAGATATATATATATATATATATGTTTATCTATTTTGGAATATATAAAAATATCCCTATCTTTTTATATCCTTCAAAATAAAATGACATATTTTGGAATATGTAAATATATATATGTCTTTTTATTTTGAAATAGGTATGAAACATACATAATGACACCTAGACAATAAGCCGAAGGAAGACACTCAAGGCCAGCATTTTCCACCTTGGAAACTGAAGAGCCAACACCAAGGGTAAAAATCAGGACCTGAGTGACAGTTCACCACTGAAGAGAACTATTCCTACGACCCCACCAGAAACAGAAGATATTTCTGTAAAAGCCAAACTGGGGAGTGAGAAGATAGTCATTTACTACCAGTTAAAATCAGACAGAAGTTCTTTTTTTCCACCCCCCCACCCCCACACACTTCTGGGCATGCAAGATCTTAGCTCCCTGACCAGGGACTGAACCCTTGCCCCCTTGAAGAAAAAGTGTGGAGTCTTAGCCACTGCGCCACCAGGGAAGGCCCCAAAGTTCTTCTAAATACTCGATATCTTTTAAATAAGAAGAGATTGAATGCTGATTCAAGCCAACCAACTATAATAAGACATTTTGAGATAACTATGAAAACTGAACAAAAATTGAGTTCTGACGATATTAAAGAATCGCTGTTGATATTGTTGGGTGTAACAGTATCATGGTTATGTTATTTTTTTAATGGGGGAGCATTTATCTAGCAAAGAGCCACACTAGGGTACTTAATAGATGGGAAGATAGAAGTGGAGGCAGCTTTAAAATAGTCCAGAAGAGCGGGCAGATGGGCTGAAGATGCAGGGATGGTTACAGGCTGACAACTGTTGGAGCGGTGATGAGTACACGGGGCTCACTATCAATTCTCTCTACTTTCGCGACTAATTTTTTAAGTTTATTTTTAATTGGAGGATAATTGCTTTACAATGTTGTGTTGGTTGTTTCCGTCCAACAACATGAATCAGCCATAAGAACACATATGTCCCCTCTCCCTGCCACCCTCTAGCCACCCCCATCCCTCCAGGTTGTCGCAGAGCGCGCAGCTGAGCAACTTCCCGCCGGCTATCCATTTTACATATGGTGATGTTTCAGTGCTACTCTCTCCATTCACTCCACCCTCTCCTCCCCGCTGTGTCCACAGGTCTGTCTCTTTGTCTGTGTCTCTATTCCTGCCCTGCAAATAGGCTCATCAGTACCAGTTTTCTAAATTCCATACATACGCGTTAATATATGATATTTGCTTTTCTCTTTCTGACTTACTTCACTTTATATGACAGGCTTTTCGTGGTTGTTTTAAAGTTTCTATAATACGAAGTTGAGTTGGAAAAGAAAACAGGCGGGGACTCACCATGCTGATGGTGACGATCTCGTTGTAATCCTGGGAGGTCTCCCCAGCAATCATGCCCGAGCCCCTCAGGTTCTCTACGCCCAGGCCCTCCTCCTTCCCAATGATGTCCGTGATGACATACCTTCAGGAACCAAACAAGAGTTACAGACTGAGCTCCAGCCCGGGACAAGCCAAGGCTGACGCGCTTCCCAAGGAGCCGGGGAAGGAAGGCTGAGCGAGCTGAGGGTGGAGGGTGAGAAAGCAGCCCACGGTGAGATGAAGGCAGGGGTCTGGGACCCTCACGATTGGCCCTAAAGTTTCCAGAAGGGCAAGGACAGCTTCAGTGATGATCACCCCTCCAACCACAGAGAGTCTGCTGATTCAGAGGCTGTCCTAACGAAGCATCACCCCTGCCCTGCACTCCTCCGGAGACAATCTAGAACAGTCTTCGGTCTGCAGACAGATGGGCCTGTGCCAGGAGAAGGCACTTGGTTCATGACCAATCAATCATGGCCACATGAGTCCACTGCGCAGCCCAACCTCCCTGCTGATCTGAGGGTGAGCTGATGTAATAAAAACAGAAGTAAAGTGCACAACAAATGTGGCAACTGGATCATCTTAAAACCATCCCCGCCTCCCTGGTCCACAGAAAAATTGTCTTCTGCAAAATCAGTCCCTGGTGCCCAAAAGGCTGGGTTAGGCCTTAACCCATTAGAGAGTCACAAGGCATTTTAGTGCATTAAATACTCTGAGAAGGCCTGCAGTAAAGATGCTTGTTGGATCTCATCTAACCCAGTGTTTCCGAAACTTACTTGACTATGGAAAATCTTCATTCCCTCTCTCCCCCCAAATCAATGATTAACAGCCCAGGAAACTCAGCCTGGGAAATTTTGATTTAAATCAGAATCTGATTTTAAAAACCTACAACCTTCCCTGGAAAAGACACCAGTATCAAGGGCGATACTCAGGGAGCAGACCCTGTCCATGTCTTCCCAGCTCACCCAGTGAGTCAGTTCGGCTCATTTGGTCATAAATTATGAGCCCGCAAGCTCTGGGGACATGTGGAAATCCAACCTAACTGTCCCCGAGTGATGTGCTGTTTTTGTGAGAGATGTGGTTCATGCAGGGACAGCAAGGATGGGGTCACCCTACAGGGGGCCCCCGGGGCACTGAGCTGTCAGTGCCCACAATGGAAGTTGGGGGTCCCTCTGTGCAAACACCCCCACCTGCTTGAGAAACTGTTAGCAGCCCAGAGGCAGATTCCCAACGAGCAGCTGAAACGAACCACAGTCAGAACGCGGGAGCTGCCTACTAAGCTATTTACCTGGATTCTCCGTCTTCCTCCACATGTTTACAATGGACGGAGTTCAGGGAGCTGATTCTGGTGTAGTCTTCGGGGGTCAGGTACAGGTATTTAATTCCCTTAAAAACATATAAATACTTCAGTGAGGATATGAGTCCAGCTCCATGTACTCGACAGACTGTTTTGTTTTAATGTCAACACTGTGTTTGAGGGATGCAGGGAGAACGCTGTGTTAATAACACAGTCACTGTCTGATGTTAACACCGTATTAATGGCACCAATTAACTGAATGTCTGCTCTGTGATTGCCACGCACCCTTACAGCACAGCCTCACTTTTCCCCTGGTCTCTCTGATTCACTGTATTTTTTTTTAAACCTTTATTGAGTTGGTTACAATATTGTTTCTGCTTTATGTTTTGGTTTTTTGGCCCCCAGACATGTGGGATCTTAGATCCTCCACCAGGGATTAAACCCTCAACCCCGGCATTGATAGGGGGAGTTTTAACCACTAGACCTCCAGGGAAGTCACTGATTCAGTGTGGTTTAATCATCTTTTCATTCTCTCTCCCCAAAGGAGCCTTTCAGATACTTCTTTTTGCCTGATTACCAACCCCTTTGCCCCAGGAAAGTTTTATTATAGATATAATGGTTATGTAATAAATGTATGTGTATGTGTGTGTGCTTCTACATGAAAATAATACTTTTTGTCCCTTTGGGGGGACAATACCACCTCCTTGAGAACATGTGCTGTTGTTGCAAAGAATGCCTCAGTCCCCTGCATTTTCACATCACAAAGATGTGTGTTTTTCTTTATTCATTCTGCCTTTTATGATGTCCTGAGGTCTTCTGGATGAATTTTAAGAACTTCCTGAGGCCAGGGATTATGTATCACTCACCTCTGCATCCTTGGTATGTACTGTGTTCAGAAGATGCTCAGTATGTATTGATATTAACTACATGTTTATATAAGAAATAACTATTTTCATTATTGTTCTCCAAGGATCCTTCCGAGGGCTTCCTAAGTAGCTCAGTGGTAAAGAATCCGCCTGCCAATGCAGCAGATGTGGGTTCAATCCCTGGGTCGGAAAATGCTATGGAGAAGGAAATGGCTACCCACTCCAGTATTCCTGCCTGGAGAATCCCATGGACAGAGGAACCTGGCGGGCTATAGTCCATGGGGTCACAAAGAATTGAACATGACTGACTAAGACTTTCAGAGCTCTATGAGGTGACTACTACGATTATTCCCATTTTACAGATAAGGAACCTGAGTCATTTGCTAGTGGCCGAGGAGGAGTGAGGACTTCCCAGGTGGCGCTAATGGTAAAGAACCCGCCTGCCAATGCAGGAGACATAAGAAAGGCGGGTTCGATCCCTGGGTCAGAAAGATCCTCTGGGGAGGGCATGGCAACCCACTCCAATATTCTTGCCTGGAGAATCCCATGGACAGAGGAGCCTGGCGGGCTACAGTCCACAGGGTCGCAAGAGTCGGACACCTAAGAGTCAGACATGCTAAGTCTGGACTTAGCGACCAAACCACCACCACCATGTGTATCCGTTCTGTCTACCCAAAGAGCAAGACTTTTTCCCTACTCCCTTAGAGGTACTGTCACTCCCTCGGAAAACACAGCAGGAGCTAGGTGGCAGCACACAGCTTCGCGCTGTACCTTGTGCGGGTCTTCCGGGTCCACCCAAGCCACCTGGAATATGTGTTTGATCTCCTCTGCCAGGCCGATACGGGCCCCACTGTTGGCCGCGAGGTAGACTTTGGGGATGCCCTCGGCCCGGGCCAGCTCGGACGCCCGCAGGTATAGAAGGTCTTCTTTGGGGCCGAAAGATCCGATACGGAAGGTGATGTCATTGCTGATGAAGATAATGTCACGCCCTTCTGGGTACTCGAGGGTTTTGAACCTCATTTTGAAGGCCACCATGCCCACCTGGAAAGGAGATGAGTGCACAAGAAAACAGGTTTGCTTCTTCATGGAGAAAAAGTTTTTTAAGTTTGCTTTTTTTTTAATGTAGGCCATTTCTAAAGTCTTTGTTGAATTTATTACAATATTGCTTCTGTTTTATATTTTGTTTTTTCGGCCACGAGACATGTGGGATCTTAGTCCCCCGACCAGGGATCAAACCCGCACCCCCTTCACTGGAAAGTGAAAGTGAAAGTCACTCAGTCGTGTCCAACTCTTTGCAACCCCATGGACTATACAGTCCGTGGAATTCTCCAGGCCAGAATACTGGAGTGGGTAGCCATTCCCCTCCAGGGGATCTTCCCAACCCAGGGATCGAACCCAGGTCTCCTGCATTGCAGGCAGATTCTTTACTAACTGAGCTATCAGGGAAGCCCTTCTTTCACTGGAAGGGAAAGTCTTAACCACTCAACAGCCAAGGAAGTCCCTAGGGAGAAAATTTTTTAAAGGGTGATTCCAGCCAGGAGCTGGGCTCTGTGGGTTTGCTTTTTTTTTTTTAATTTTATTGAAGTACAGTTGATCTACAATGTTGTGTTAATTTCTTCTGTAAAGTAAACTGACTCAGTTCTTTACCTCATTTCCTCCAGGAAGTCGGTTCATCTCCACCAGCTGGCCCTGTGGATCCAGCACAAGTTCAGTGTACGTCAGGATGTCTTTGGGGTACTTGTCCGGGGAGTGCCACATTTTAAAAAGAGCCTACAGAGAAGGAAGTAAAGGGAAAAATCTGAAGTTGCCAGTAAGGAAGTACATTTTCTAGGGCTGCCTCTTTCTTTCTTAATCACAAACTATTTAAAGCACGCAGCAGAAACATGCAGAAAAAATAAATACCCATGCATCTATCTTGCAGTTTTGTCAAATCATAATTTCTCCAAAGTTGCTTTAAGAATTTTTTAAAAAGAAATAATATAAGTGCAGTTGAAGCCTCTGGTGTGCCCCTTCCCATCCCATTCCCATCTGTCCTTCCCCCTGCTCCCCTCAGGTAACCATTACCCTGAACTTGAAAGAAAGTGAAAGCTAGTCACACAGTCGTGTCCAGCTCTTTGTGATCCCATGGATATAGCCCGCCTGGCTCCTCTGTCCATGCAATTCTCCAGGCAAGAGCACTGGGGTGGGTTGCCATTTCCTTCTCTAGGGGATCTTCCCAACCTGGGGTTCAAACCCAGGTCTCCTGCTTTGCAGGCAGATTCCAGCTGAGCCACTAAGGAAGCCCATCCTGAATTTGGTGTCAGTCAAGTCCCCTATGTGTTTACGTTTTTATCTCATTGTATGTGCAGACATTAAACACGTAGCATTATTTTGCATGACTTCCATTTTAAATACATGATGTCACATCAGACATGTCCTTCTACAACTTATTTTTCCAACTCTCCAATACATTTGAGACATTTATCCATGTTGATAAATTTAGCTCTGGTTTATTCCTTTTCCCTCCTGCTCAGTTTTTTATGGTATGAATATGTCACAATTTATTTACTCATAATTTTTAGTAGAAACATTTAGATTTCCAATTCTACGGTATTACCAATAACGCTATAATGAACATTCCTATGGTCTTTTTACATGGGCATATACCTAGGAGTGGGATTGCTGGGTCATAGCATATGTGAAACTTCGGTTTTACTGGATATTATCAAATTGCTTCACAGCAAGAATGTGTGAGAGCTCCTTCACTCCATGTATTGTCCACATTCGGTTTTGTCAAGTATTTTCATGTTCCCCATCTGCTAGGTGTGAAATTATACTGTGATTTTTTTTTTTTTTTTGCTCTCATGTTGACCTGTATTTCACTGATTGTCAGTTAGGTAAGCACCTTAGAATATGTTGATTGAAGTTTCTCTTACATAATATTGCTCTAATCTCTTGCTGGTAACAGACATCAAAACATATTCTCCCAACCTGGGGTCTTTTTTTGAAAAGTTAATTTATTTAATTGGAGGCTAATTACAATATTGTGGTGGTTTTTGCCATGAGTGTACATGTGTCCCCTGATCCTGAACTCCCCTCCCACCTCCCTCCCCACCCCATCCCTCTGGGTTGTCCCAGAGCACCAGCTTTGGGTCCACCAATCTGGGATGTTTTTACATAAATAACTTTTAAATTTTAATGTAGTCAAATTTATGGGGCTTTCCTATGCTTATGCTTTTAACTCACTCTGAGTGGTTTTAACTTTCTTGAAATTTATTTTTGTATACCAGATGAGGTAGAAATAAAAATTTATTTTCCCAATTAGATAAAAATCTCTTTGTATCTTTTAGCGAGATATATTCCCCTTCATTCACAATTCCATCTCTACATTCTGTCAAGGCTCTGTTTAGGAGTGGGTCTGATTCCAGACTCTATTCTGTTCTATTGGTCTATCTGTTTAGCTCCATGACAATAATATTATGATTACAGTAAGTATAGCTGCTTGAAAATAGTGACTTATTTCAAAGGACGGCTAAGACAAGTACTCCAGATTATTTTTTCAAAATTGCTTTTGCTATTAACGAACTTTTACTTTTCCTATGAACTTTTAAGTTGCACCCAAAACTCCAGAATTATACTGAATATATTATGAGGGGAACTATTAACTTTACAATATTGAATCTTCCCATCATTCATAAGCACGATATATCTCTATTTAGGCTTAAAGTACTTCCATAAAGTTTCAAAATTTCCTCCGTAAAGGCCTTTTATGTTTTTTTATTCTTAGGGAAACTTTAGAGTTGATCTTAATATTGTAAACAGCAAAAACAAAAATATATATTGTAAACAGCATTTTCCCAATTAGATTCTAGAATTATTGCTTGTCTATGAGAGCACAATTAATTTTTGTATACTAATCTAGCTAGAGAAGGGAATGGCAACCCACTCCAGTATTCTTGCCTGGAAAACCTCATGGACAAAGGAGCCTGGTGGGCTACAATCCATGGGGTTGCAGAATCAGGCACGACTGAATGACTAAGCATGCACTTGTATCTAGTAATCTTGCTATATTATCTTGCTGGTTCTTTAAATCCTCTTGGATTACTTTTATAGGCATTTTATCATCTACAAAAAACACCACATTGCTTCTTTCTATTATTGTATCTTTTATTTCTTTTTCTTATTTTAATGCATTGATCAATAACTCCAATTTTTAAAAAAAGGGTGGAATAGATGGAGTAATTCAATTTCACTAATGCTTATAATCTATATTTTCTATTTCTTATTGAGTTAGTTTTGATAAGATGTACTTTCTGGAAAATTTTGCTTTTCATGTTTTCAAATTTATGGGTAGCCCACAGTACTCTTTATCTAAAAGAAAAGTGGATGGATTTATTTTTGATGTGTCTGTTTCTTATTCTTGTGGCCCATGATGTCCAAGGCAGAAAGATACAGATGATAACATTCTTAATCATAAAAGTTTCCATTTATTAAAATAGCCTCTACTGAATACTTAATATGTATTTCTTACTACAACCTTGGGAGGTAGGCACTAATATTATTCTCATTTTACAAAGGAGAAAAGAGGCCCTGAGAGGTGAAGGAACTTACCTGGGGACACACAGGAAGCAAAGGACAGATTTGGGATTCAAGCCCAGGACTTCCTGACCCTAAATAGCAGCTTTCCCTACTACCCTGCATCTCTCACGCCTAAAGTGCACTGCTGCCTTCCCGTCTACAGCAGAAGTCTGCAGCCTCAGTTTCATGAACGTCATACACAAGGCCACAGAGAGATGTACAAAGGCATCCTTGTCACCAATGCCAGTGTGTTCAGTCTCCTAGAAAGGCCCTTCTATGTAAAAAAAATATAGGCATAGAAAACATACTTGAAGGAAATATCCAGTATATATTCTGTATCCAGTGTATACTTCAAAATTCATCAAAACATAAAAACATTCCTTTTTTTAAAATTCCTCAAAGGTAGTGACCCCATCCTCTTCCTCATGGTCCAGCCACCCTTAAAATGGTACCTGGTTTATAGCAGGTACTAAATATAAGAATTAGCAAGACCAGGAGGAAATGGTAAGCAATTTGTCTTCAGTATATGGAACTAGGAGTTATTTTTTATTCCTTCCCCTCTCCTTTGTTATGCAAAGTTTCTATATTATATTCTTTTTATGACTGGGATGAAACAAGTCTTGTTCTAGAAAAATATACTACGAAGTCATTCCCAATGTTAGTTTCTTTTTGTTCATGAAGACTGTTTTTTAGAGTGAGGTCTCTACTCTCTGGGTCCAGCTCCCCCATCCACCAGCGCCCCGGTGCCCGAGTCCCTCCACCCTCTGCACTTGGTAGCCAAGTAGGGAGGCTGTTTGGTGGGCTGGGCCATTCCTGCTCCTGTTGTGGAGACCTGGAACTTTGCACATGTTAGTACTGGGGAGTTGTTCCTACCGTAACGTCCACGATGAGGCTCCTTTACCTACCCTATCGATCACTACTGCGCTCCCCGAAGCACTATTATTTATTCTCCCTCTGCCTGCACCCCTACTACTGTCAGCACAGTAAATGGTTCTTGGAAGCTTAAAAAAAAAAAAAAAAGATAAGAAAAGCAACTGAGGTTGGACGTTGTGGATGCTGGTGGAGTCTCTAAAGCGGGACCCCGGGGGGTGCCGAGTCTCAGCCCCAGGACTTGCCTGCCTGAACATTTCTGGGAAGTCATACACATAGGTGGTACCCAGGGACTGGGCCTGGAATCGCTTGGCCTGAAGCAGATCCTTGGTGACGTAGGGAGTGTTGATCAGCATTCCATGCTGGGGGCCTTGTTTGTTGCCAAAGGAATGAAACAAGATCTGGACCAGAAAGAGAAAAACAGAGTGAGGGAGGCAAGTCTCAGAGAACCACGCTGCTGCTCAATTTATTTCTTCCGCTCCTCAATGAAAACGCAAAGAGGGCATGCCACTCGGACATAAAAAAAGAGCAAAATAATGCCACTGGCAGCAACATGGATGGACCTAGAGATTATCATACTAAGTGGAGTAAGTCAGAAAGGTACCACATGGGATCATGTCTATGTGGACTCTAACATATGACACAAATGAACTTTTCTGAAACAGACACAGACCCACGGACGCGGAGAAGAGGCTTGGGCCTCCACTCTGCCTCCACTTCTGTGACCCGGCCCAGCCTTACGTTTCCAGATCTGGGGTCGGTCACTTCCTTGTAGAGGCTGATGTCCAGGTAGTAGCCCGACTCATTGGTGATGAAGAGGCGGATGGGGATTGCGCTGTCGGTGGTGGTCTGGCGGATGTTGATCTTGACCTCAGCCTGGAGCACGCGGAGCTTCCACAGCCGGCTGCCGTAGCGCATCACCATGGACCGCACCGATTCCTCGATCTGCCGCAAACCACAGCGGTTCAGTTTCAGAACCTAAGCTGCACACACTCGTAACAGTTCTAGCTCTGATGATGACAGAATGGTGAGATATACCGAATGCAAAATGCACTGCATGCATACAGCACAGTAATACATTGCATGTGTCATTGGTAGCTGGTAAGAAGCAAAGGCATCTTTGACTTAACTCAGTACCTCACTCTGTCCCCACAACTTCCCAGAGAGGCTAGCATTTTTGTCCCCCACTGATAGAGGAGGAAACTCAGGCATTTTCTCTTCTGGGAATGACACGAACTGATGAAGCTGGGCAGTCAGCATGAGCCTCTGCACCCCCCACATGCCAAGCTGAAGGACTGAAAGGACCTCTTTCATCCCAGAATCACCACCACAAACTCTGCCTGCTTGTGAGGGACCAGCCGTGGAGGATGGTTGAGCCTCAGACCTCAGGTCCTCACTCCCCTCCCCCACCCACAGGCAGCCCACAACAGAGCCTGGAACCAGGGAGAGGCCAAAACTGTGTTTTGCAGAGGACATTCTGGGCATCTGCGTTTCCTGAAAAGTGAAGCATGCCCATGGAGGGGGAACATCCTGACGGACAGTCCTCAGGGGGGTGGCTGGAATATGGCTCTAGAATTAACTGATGGAAGCTTTGTGCTCCACTTGCAGCAATCAGACACACATGTATGCACCCTGCAACTTGGGTCTCAAACACCGGGAGACAATACGCCATAGCAGGAGGGTCCCAGGGAAGGTGAACCCCCAGAGCCTGCCTGCCGAGGGGAGACCTTGGAGGGGTCCATGATGACGGTGGGCACGAAGTTGAGGAAGATGTGGTTGCAGTCGGTGCGCACGCTGGTGTTGTTGAACGCCACCTCCAGCTCGTCCATGGCCTCCAGGAGCAGTCGCTCGCCCTCGTTCTGGAGGTACTCGAAGGAGGCTTCCTGTCAAAGCGGGAGGGGGCAGCCGCTAAGGGCAGGGGTGCGGGGCTCAGAGAGTCAGAGAGAGGGGAGAAGAGCCCTTCCTCTGAAAGGTGTGCCCGGTAGGACCCCAGAGCCCCACCTCTGCAAGCAAAGGGCTGTCCGAGGCTGTCTCGTGTACAAGGCACCTCTTTTATTTTCTGTGTTTTCTGCTGTGCTGACCCCAGAGAGGTCTTACAGTCTCTTCCAAGATACTGTAAACAACTCTCCCATGAGTCCGCTTTTCAGGCAAACCAACCAATCCAACCAATCCACGGTCCACACCCCACTACTCCTCATCAGGCTCACGCTCCAGGCTACTGTCCTCGGGCCCTAACCACCCCAGGGCCAGGCATCAGACAACTAGAGACAGCCCCTATGTTCTGAGCCTGCTGAAATCACAAAAGTCAGCCACTGCCAAGCCTCACCTGCCTCACCTGGTCCTTGCTGCGAATCCCACAATAAAGGCCCCTGTCCACAAAGCCCCGCTCCCACGGCCTCCTGAGCAGCCCTGGCACTTCCCCACGTGGTCCCGTGAGCAGCCCTGGCACTTCCCCACGTGGTCCCCATGATACAGAGTGCCCCCTCCCCTCGGGATCTGTGAGTGACAAACACACCATCTTTTCAGTGGCAACCATCTCCTGGTCTGCTGGCCTTCCCTGGTGGCCCAGACGGTAAAGAATCTGCCTGCAATGCGGGGGACCCGGGTTCGACCCCTGGGTTGGGAAGATCCCCTGGAGAAGGGAATGGCTGCCCATTCCAGGATTCTGGCCTGGAGAATTCCATGGACTATATAGTCCATGGGGTCGCAAAGAGTCGGACATGACTGAGCGACTTGCATTTAACCCAGATAATCATAAAAGCTATTAGAACACCTGAGGCTGTAAAACACTGAGATTAGCTTAGCATTCATCACTAGAGGACTCCTTAAAAAGATTACATACATGTGATACTTCGATGCTGGGGAACTGCAGGGAGGAAATCATCTTAATTGACATAAAAGGAGGTCTATAGTAAAAACCAAGTCTTTACATGGTACGTGCAGCCTGAGCTCCCACCTGTAACATTATACCTACAACCCAATTCCATGGAATGAGGCCAAGAAAGGGTCACCAACAGGGCTGACCCCTGAGCGGCAGGATTCTGGGTCCTTTACCTTGATTCCTTTTTTTGCATTGTCAGGCAGATTCTCTACCACTGAGCCACCAGAGAAGCCACTGATTTCTTTTTTTTTTTTTTTTTGGCCAAGCCACATAACATGTAGGATCTTAGTTCCCCAACCAGAGATCAAACCTATGCCCTGTGCATTGGAAGCAGAGTCATAACCACTGGATCACCAGGGAAGTCCCTCCTTGATTTTTGGAAGTATTTTCAGTATTGTTTGCAATCTTCACAGGATATTCATGAATTACTTTTGTAAATGCAAGAAACAATGGGACATGATGACGCACGCACTCAATCAGCAAATTCAAAAAAATCCCCTTAACAAACCAGGATCTCTCTTTTCTATCCTCCTGATTCTCTCATGCAGACACATCTCTCTGATGGAAGAAAGAATCAGCATGTTACCCCGTGAAAAGAAGCCACTATCTACCTCCTGTCCCCTCTAGACTGGACTGTCGGTCACAAGGCCAGGGCTGTGGGTGTCCCGTTCACCCTGTAGTCCCCGCATGCAGCCCAGGCCCTGTGCCGAGTGGCACTCAGCCCCGGCGAGGCTGGCCTCCGAGGGACAAGCTCAGGGGGAGACCCAAGCACCGGCTGACATCGACCTTGGTGATCAGGTCCGAGTGCCTGATGATGACCCGGATGAAGAACCTGTGGTCCGTGACCTCTGTGCCCTCCTTCACTCTGGCAGCACCCAGGTACAGGTGCATCTTGTGGTTGGCGCAGGGCAAGGCGGTCACGTCGAAGTTTCGCAACCGGCTGAGCTCCAGCTGGAAGGCCAGGGCCGGCTCCAAGTGACGGTAGATGCGATCTTCTGCAAACTGCGGGCCAACCAGGAAGAGAAAACAGACAGACACACAGACACATGTGGAGCTGGACACCGAGGTGGCGTGCCCGCTTGATCCATGCCCTGCCCTGCACACCCCCTGGTGCTGCGGGTTTAGTGCTCAGGAATGAGGCAGTCATGGTGTCTTCTGACCGTGAACTCAAGAGATTGGAGATTAGAGATTTCGTGAAGGTCCAGCTGAGACGAAGGTCCATGAGCATGCAGTCTTGTGCTGGTACAAGTCTCTCAGCCCTGGGGGAGCCCAGCTGGTCCCCAGCACCTGCCAGCCTGCCAGGCTGTTTTCTATGAGCCACGACACGGTACTTCTCGAGAAGTGCCTAAGCACCTGGTTTCCTTGTGGAGATGGGTCCCTAGAAGGAAGTGACTTGGTGGTGCTAGAGTTTTAACTGAAGACGCTAAAGGAAGGATGGGTCTTAAGCAGTAAAGTGAGGCTCTGGATAGATTAAAATACTGTTTGCTGGAGGCTGGGTCTGTGCTGGGAACAAGACCACCTGTTCTAGAACAGGGATGAGCAAACTTTTTCTCAAAAGGCCAGAGAACAGATGGAGTATATAGTCGGTCACAACCACAGTCTGACTCCTGAATCCATCGGTTCTGCATCTGCGGATAAGACCAATCACAGAGATTCCATCTGTGGTTGGGTGAATCCACTGTGGAAATTGCAGACATGGAGGGCTGACTGTACTTGATTCTACCTGATTCTATGGCTGGAGTCAGAAAGCCATCAGAGACAGAAAGAGATTAATGAGTATGACCTGTGTCCCAATCAAAACTGTGGTTATAAAAACAGGGGGCTAGGGAATTTTCTGGCGGTCCAGTGGTTGAGACTCTGTGCTTCCATTGCAGGGGGCCTGGGTTCGTTTCCTGGTCAGGGAACTAGGATTCTGCAAGCCATGTGTGGCATGGCCAAAAAAAACAAAACAAAAACCAACCAATCAACCCCTAAAAAACAGGGAGCGAGCCTGCAAGCCATAGTTTGCAAACCACTGTTCTAGAAGAATATAAGCAAAAGAGGTTGGGAGACTTGTCTTACAGGGTTACAGCAGCAAGTATAAAACTTCTCCAGGTGAGACAGAAACGTGTATAGCAAAAGTTGAAAGGGTGGGAAATGTGAAGTCTGAGGCCCACATACAAACACGGGGCTCTCACTGGAAATACCAGCCCAGAGGAAGGCTGGAGTCTGAACTTCAGTTGCATTTCTAGAATACAGGGATCATAAGGACTGGGGATGATATTCTTCCTGAATATCAAAGGTTCCAGGGAAGACAAGACCACTTCATTGCTCTTCACCATACCTCATCTCTTGCTCTGAATGTGAAAAACTTGGGAAATTCTTTCTGCAAAAAAAGACATATGAAAGACAGCTAAGTCAAGCAAGACTCATTTAAATATTTATAGACTTGTTTTACGATTTTTAACCATTACCCAGTCCACTGCTAGAACAAATCATTTGGAAAGCCATCTCTCCTCTATCCATTGATCTTTCCCACCCCAATCTATACAACAAACTTCAAATAAATGGCACAAAGTCTTGAAGAATGTGAAGAACTCAGATACGCTGAGTATTGGACTGACCTCTTGGGCAATCAGGAATGTGATTCTTCGGAGTCCACACTCCCTAAGGATGTTTTTCTGCATTAAAAACCAAACATACAATGGGATCATACTTGGTCACACAAAGGAATGAAGTCCTGATACATGTTACCACTACCTGGATGAACCTTGAAAACACGCCGAGTAAAAGAGGCCAGTCCCCAAAGGCCTCACATTGTATGAATTTCCACTTAGTTCATTGATAGGAAACACCCAGAATAAGCAAATTCACAGACAGAAAGTAGATTAGTGGTTCCCAAGGGCAGGGAAAGGGGTGTTGGGTTGAGGGAAAACGGGGTGACTGCTAAGGGGTGCAGGGTATTTTGGTGGGGGTGGTGAAAATGTTCTAAAATATAATGATCATAATAGATGGTTGCATCTATTAGTAGCCTCTCCTTATTGACCAGGGACATGATCAGGGTCCCCAGGGGATGAATGGGACCATGGATAATACCAAACCCTATATATACTAGGCTGTTGGTTTTTTTTTCCTATACATGCCTACAATAAAGTTTAGTTTACAAATTAGGTACTGTAGCCCACCAGGTTCTTCTGTCCATGGAATTCTCCAGGCAAGAATACTGGAGTGGGTTGCCATTCCCTTCTCCAGGGAATCTTCCTGATCCAGGGATCAATCCTGGGTTCTTCTGTATTGTAGGCAGATTCTTTACCATCTGAGCCACCACGAAAGCCCACAATAGGAGATTAACCACATAGAAAAATTATCGCCATTTACTGTAATAAAAGCTATTTGATTCTGGGCTCTCAAAATATTTTCTTGTAGTTTAATGTCTTTTCTGTCTTAACATAGCAGTTATCACTCAGTGTGGCCATAATGTTTGCAGTTTAAGGGTACATCTATTTTTCCCTCCTTCACAATTTCATGGCTAGAAGAATCAGTCTTACTGGAGACCTTAGCAGCTCATGTGTTTTTTTTCCTGCCTTATTAAGTCAAGAACTTTCACCTTTTCATTTAAGGGAAGCACCCTATGGCTTCTCTTTGGCATGTCTGAATTGCCGGCATCACTACCCTTGCACTTTGGGACATAACTAGGTAAAATACGGGTGACTGAACATAACTACTGCAATACCGTGACAACTGATGGGACGACCCAGCCACCTACTATGTGACAAACAGTGGATGCGCTGGACAAAGGGATGATCCGCATCTGAGTCAGACCAAGCAGGATGGTGCAATACTTCCTCATAGCAACTCAGAATGGCACATGACTTAACACTGACAAAGTGCTTATTTCTGGCATTTTCCATTTAATGTTTTCGGACTACAGTTGGCCATGGGAAACTGAAACTAAGGAAAACCAAACTGCAGAAAAGAGGACTATGGTACCAAGAAGCATTGAACTGTATACTTTAAATGGAGGAATGGTGTGGTACATGAATTACATTCAATACAGCTATTAAAATATATGTACACACACATTATTATACATGACACCACATGTTTATAAAACCAACCCAGTTATTAGCATACATGGCTGTTAATGTAAGTGACCATTTTAAAATTGGGAGTTTTGGACTTCCCTGGTGGCCCAGCGGTGAAGAATCCATCTGCCAATGCAGGGGACACGGGTTCGATGCCTGGTTGGGGAAGATCCCACACACCTCAGAGCAACTAAACCTGTGTGCCCCAACTACTGAAGCCTTCACGCCCTTGAGCCTGCGCTCCGTGATAAGAAAAGCCACAGCAACAAGAAGCCCAGGCACCACAGCTAGAGAGCCGCCCCCGCTGTCCACAGAGAAAGCCCGCTTACGGCAACAAAAACCCCGTGTAACCAAAAACAAATAAATAAAATCGTGAGTCTTCTGGCTTATCCCAATGAAAACATTGCCCCAAATTCCAGAACTATTTACTGACTGTGTCGTCCGCATAAGGTGGTGTATACACTGTGTCATCTTATTACGGCAACTCCCAGGGAGAGAGAAACGCCACCCCCGTGTTACTCGGGGGAGAAGCCGAAGTTCTGGCCTGTTCAGCCTCCTCTGCCCAAGGTCACTGGCAAAGCAGAGCCGGCGTGGGCCGCCAGGCCTGAGGCTCTGAAGCTCTTAAGCAAACTCGGGCACATGGACACCTCCCCAAGACAGCCCTCCTCCTTTTCAGGGAACCAGAACCAGGGGCTGCCCAGCGTACCTTGGACTGCACAAATGTTCGGAAAATGGGCACCAGCTGCTCATCCTCCTGGTGGTCCGCGTACTGGAGGGCCACGTTCAGGATGTGGATCGGCTCCTCTCGGAGGCTCTGGGACAGAAAACCAAGGGTGGGGGGAGCGCCAAGAAAACCAAGTAGAAGGGCCCGAGGCCCCAGCCCGCCCCTGCCCGCTGGCTCCCTGCTCAGACACTCACCTTGCTGTCGTCCTCGGAGTATAAGGAATCCCGGGCCTTGCTGAAGAGCGGGGTGTCCTTGGGCACGTTGGTGAAGCAGGAGACGACCTCATCAAAGTTCCTGGGGTGCGGGCAGAGAGGGAGGGCTCAGGGGCCGCTGCCCCACGAGGTCGTGGGTCAGACCCGGACCCTCCCTCCTTCCCAACCACCAGGCTGCGAGCGCATCCAAGTCTGTGCAGAGCTCCTGTGGTTCCTGACTAGGTCCAAGGCACTGGTGATGGGGTCTTCCCCCAAAACAAGAATGAGCCTATGTGGTTTGAGATGGTGAGTAAAAGAAAGGGTTCTGATACTTTGCGGGCATGGCTGGGAAACTCCCGCAATCTCATCTCACTTCTCTGAGTCAACTGAGGATAACAAAATTAATCACTACACCTCCCAGGGCTGTTGTGAAGATACGAGATAATCCAAGTATGATGCATAATATACAGGGGCAGGCTGAGAAAAGGGCAATGGAGACTTCCCTGGTGGGCCGGCGGTTAAGAATCCGCCTTGCAGGGGACATGGGTTTGATCTCTGGTCAGGGAACTAGGATCTCACATGTTGTGGAGCCCATGCATCACAATACTGAGCCTGTGTCCCACAACTAGCGAGTCCGTGTGCTGCAACCGAAGACCCTGCGTGACGCATCTAAGGCCCAACACAGTTGGATACATACATAAATCTTTTTAAAAGGGGCAATGATGCTGACATTTTTGAGCATGTTATCTATATACTAACAACTGTTTAGATACAATATTTTTAATGAATTATCTCATTTAACATTCATGGTGACCCTGTCGTTCTCTTGTGCCCCTTATACAGGTGAGAAAACAAAGGTACTGAGAGAAATCATTTGTTCAGAGTCTTATAGTCAAGAAGCAGGGTGTGACAGTATTCAAAAGCAGGAGGCGCTGACATGAAAGCTCACACTTTTGATGCTATATTGTTCTATTATTATTAACTCGCTGTGCCGTGTGTCTAGGGCACCCCCACCTGTGTGCAATGAACAGGGGTTCAGGGGAAGCTCGCTCAAGCCCTGTGGTTGGGGTGTTCTGGGGAGACTGAACCCCGCTGGGTACCTGACGAAATCCTCGAATCTCTGGAAGGCGACCATGGCCCCCATCCGCTGGGACTTGGGGGAAAAGCCACTGTCCATGAAGAGCTCCGTGCTGTGTCTCAGCAGTTCCGGGTTGGTGACACTGATGGGCACAGTCATCCTGCAGTAGGGGTGAGAGGTGGGGGGTGAGGCAGCCGCCTGCAGATCCGGCCCCAAGAGCTGTTCCTGCCCTGGAAGCTTCGGTGAGCCAGCCCCACATCAGTCTTCTGAAAGAGGGGGGCTTAGAACCGGAGGTGGAAGGGGGGAGAGATCCCCCTCTGGCCATGCACAGAGCGCCAGGGGCCTGGACCTCAGTCCTGCTGTCTCTCACCTGACCTCCCCTATGGCCACAATGCACCTGGTTCTACAGACACAGGTGTGGAGGGTCCACTCAGGCTCTGCTGGGGGGCGGGGGGTGAGATGTCACCCCTGTGGCCTCCCCAGAGGCTTGGAAGAGCAGGGCCGTGGGGCAGCTGAGGCCACAGGCCCCGGGTAAGCTCCTGGCCCTTCTAGTCAACAGCAACGGTGAGGGCCTGAGATGGTCAAGGAAGCCCTCCAGGGTTCTCAGTGCCTCCCTGGCTGATGATAATGCCGTGTGCCTATAGATACTAAGGGCCACAACCATGACCGGGGCACTCACGTAGGTTCTCCCCAGAAACAAAGTGTGAGTGACCACCCTAGCCTTCTTCCCTAACAGCGCCGAACTGCTGCAACAAAGAACTCCAGAGGCAAAGAATTCTGGGACTTCCCTGGTGGTCCAGTGGCTAAGACTCTGTGCTCCCAAGGGACGGGGCTACTGGGCAAAGCTGACAATCTTTATTTTGTGGGATGGGGAATAAAGCTGAATAAAGTAGAGTGTGGAAGCACTTAGCATAGGGCCCAACACACACCATCCCATCCGACAGTAATAACAGTATCCATCATGATCATCGAAGGGATCCTCAACATTCATCAACTTTCTGTGTGCTGGGCGTGGGCCTAAATGCTGTCTGTGCCTCATTCTTCATCAGGGTCTTGGACAACTCTGTCCAAGAGAACTTTCTGTGGTGATGGAATGTTCTAGAACCACAATGTCCAATATGGCAGCCACAAGTCACACATGAGCTGGTGTGACTGAGGACCTGAATTTTTAATTTAGTTTTGATGCATTTTAATTTCAATATCCCGTAGGTAGCGGCTACCAGCCCAGACAGTGCAGAGTTAGGAGGCAGGCACGGGGTTATCTCCATGCTACAGAAGAGAGAATGGAGGTGTGGAGAGATGCCAGCCTGGGGAATGGCATGCCTAATGTCTCCCCAGTGGTTTCCAGACATCCCTGCTGGGTCCCTCCAGAGACAGGACTACAGTGGTCAGGGAGAAAAGAAACATAAGCCACCCCCTTCCCCAGGTCGGTACCACTCTGTACCGGTGTGGGTGAGAGGAGGGCAGCATGAACTGGAATTCCACTACGCAGGTGCCATCCGGAAACTGGCGGTGCTGCAGGCTGGTTAGCTCATAGGCAATGTAGCCCCTCCGCACATAAACCTAATGAAACAGAAGCACAGACTGCACCTGAGAAAACACAGATTGGCGGGTCCCAGAAACAAGCCCGAAATATGATCCCTAAAGCAGTGAAGAGTAAATGTGCTCCCTCTTCAGGATGCTACCTTCTCTGCAAAAGACCAGATGGTAAATATTTTAGGTTTTTGTGGAATATATCATCTTTATCACAAATCACAACTACTCAATTCTGCTACTGTAGGGACTTCCCTGATGGTCCAGTGGTAAAGACTCTGATGGAGCTCTCACTACAGGAGGCACGAATTTGTGCCACGGACAATATGTAGATGTGTGGGTGTGGCTGTGTTTCAATAAAACTTTATTTACAAAACTGGGCAAGGGGCCAGGTGTGATCCACAGACTATAGTTTGCTGACTCTTGCTCTAGAGTAATGCTGTCCAATAGAAATATAACACAGGCCATGAAGGCAATTTTGAATTAATTTGAGATTTTCTAGTAGACACTTAAAAGGAACAGGTAAAGATGATTTTAATAACATACCTTATTTCATCCCCAGCACCTAAAATATTATCATTTTAACATGCAATCAAGTTTTTAAAAATTGAGATATTTTTCATTCTTTTTCCATACTAAGTCTTTGGAATCCACTGTGTATCCTATACTTCGAGCACAGCTTCAATCAGACTGGCCACATCCTAAGCCACATGTGGTCAGCGGCTGCCATATTGAATGGCACGTTTCTGGAGACTAAGCATTGGGAGTTTTTTAACTGGATAGGGAATCTGGGGATTAACTGCCATCCTTTGAAATTCCTTCTTGCAAGGCTGGCCCTTGGCTAGCATGTGAGAACTTGGATTTGGGGAGGGTTCCCACCATTCCTGGATAAGAATGGTTGGCAGTGCATTAACTAAGCAAACAGTATGACTTATGCTGAGCATATGCTTTCTTCCTGGGAGTTTGGAATTTTGGTATGTGCCAAGCAGAAGGTGCTTATGTGACCAGACCCAATAAAATTCTGGACACTCAGTCTCTAGTGAGCTTCCCTGGTAGACAACTTTCTTTTTTTTTTTTTTGACAACTTTCACATGTTGCCATAATTCATAGCTCAAGGAACTAAAAGTTTAGATGAAGTGCCTTGGACCTGGCCCTTGGGGGGTTAGTATTTAACTGTGCCTGGCCCAGAGGAGGCTAGAATAACACACAAGACATCTGGGGTTACCAGCAAGAACTTTGGACTAAGACAGTGAAGTGAAAGTCACTCAGTCGTGCCCAGCTCTTTGTGACCCCATGGACTACACAGTCCGTGGAATTCTCTAGGCCAGAATACAGGAGTGGGTAGCCATTCCCTTTTCCAGGGGATCTATCCAACCCAGCGATTGAACCCAGGTCTCCCGCATTACAGGTGGATTCTTTACCAGCTGAGCCACAGGGGAAGCCCAACAATACTGAGGTGGGTAGCCTATCCCTTTTCCAGTGTTTCTTCCCGATTCAGGAATCGAAATAGGATCTCCTGCATTGCAGGTAGATTCTTTACCAACTGAGCTATTGGACTAAGATAGACTTGATATAAATCCTGGCTCTGTCACTTCTTAGCTGTGTGACCTTGAGCAAGTTGCTTCATCTCTCTGAGCCTCCATTCCTTTTTCCATGAGATGGGTGTAAGTAAAAGGACCTACCCTGGAGAGAAAACGCTGAGACCATGTTTGCCAGGCACACGGCCCAGGGTCAGGCATGTGGAGTGCAGGCAGCGGCTGCCAGGACCGGCACTGGTCAGTACTGAAGCTGTTCCAGGGACCTCTCACTTACTTACCTCCAAGGATGCCATGCAAACCACTTTGTTAGCGTGGTAGAAGAAAGTGGGCAGCACATCAAAGATGGTTGTTTCTGAGAGTATTAATTTCTACAGGAAATGGAAAGGGAAATAAAGAAGGAAAGGGGAATGTTAACAAGTTCCAACCAGCAGTCAGAGAAGGGGAGGGATAGTGGCAGGGAAGAGAGGTTGGTTGTGTTGTTATCACAAAATGCTGCCCGGGCCCTAGGCCCCTGAGATCTGAATGTGCAGGCGGTTCTAGGGTGACTGTTCCCAGAGCTCCCAGCTCTAGACACGGAGGGGGTGCCTGGAAGCTTGTGACCGAGGCAGATTTAGGGGGTGAGGAGGGGGCCCTGGGAAAATGAAGCCAAGACCCAGCCATGTGAGTGCTCGCAGCTTCCAACAAGCTCCATCACACATGGAGTTTTAACATCATGCCTCCTGAGAGAGCCTTGCTGCCTTGCCATCCACCCTGCAGGACCCAACCTCTCCCAGAGCTGCCCCTGGGCCCCCTCGCGCAGCCCTGGCCACGCTGAACCAAACCACTGGTGCTGGTGACTGCGCTGTGCGCCCGAGCGCCAGCCCAAGGAGGGCAGGGAGAGCCCGCCTGCCCACCCCCAGGCCCCACCTGGGCCATAGCGTGTGCTCTGTGCAATGTGGAAGGACGCAGACGGCCTCACCTTGAGGTTTTCCGGGCAGAACTGGTGGCCGTACATGTCGATGGCAGACAGGAAAATGGACTCCACTTGGTTGTGCCTCAGCTCGTAGGAGGGTAGGTGGGAGGCGATCAGGACCTGCGGGCGAGAGGAGGGGATGGAGGGGCTGGGGTGAGCCATCCTCGCTGGGAAGACGCCAAGGGTCGGTCCTGCAGCAGAGGGGCTGGGCGTGGGGGAGGACGGCACGCCCTGAGCCCCGGGCGTGGCGGGGACCACAGCCGGCCAGCCTACCTGCCTGGCTCTGAGGGCCACCTTGCAGTGCTCGCTTTTGCTCAGCTGAGTCAGCTCGTCAAGGATGGAGGTTAGCTCATCGGATAAGGAAGGGTCCGGGCCACAGAGCTCATCCTTTGGGGGACAGAAACAAGATTCAAGGGCGTCTTCTGTTCCACCAGAAGGAGACAGGCCAGTACTCACTGGCCCTTGGCTGGGGGTCCAGCTTCCCCAGCCAACCTCTGCAGTCTAATACATAAATCCTCCACTTCATTTTCACTCACCCATGCATCCACCCTAAAACATGCCCTAAATTCCTGGCACGAGGGAAAACATAACCAAGTCTCTGCTTGCATTACTATTACTGGCCAGCATGTAACAGGCATTTACTGTGGCCAGGCAAGCAGCTAGACCCTTTCCATTTATTTCCTCAAACGCCCTCCACCCACTGACGAGTTATTATATGATTCCCATTTTACAGATGAGAAAACTGAGGCTCAGAGAGGCAACGTGCCTTGCCCCCAGGGTACCAAGCCCGTGCAAGGCAGAGCCAGATTTGAACCCAAGGCTCTCTTATCCCTAGGCCCTCTAACTCTTTCCTCTGCACGTCACTGCCTGACTTAAGGGGCTCAGTTTCAGAGAAGAGGGATGAGGGGAAATAGAAGCAGGTATGAACAAAGAGTAAGGGCTATGTGAGGCTCTAGTGAGGGTGTGCAAGCCAATTCTAGGAGCCTTGGCATGGGGGCAGTATCTAGGGCCTGGAGACGTCCTGCCAGAGAGAAGATACAGAGGTGAAACCTGCCAACGAGGCAGGGATGCTGGTTCTATGGGCAACCCTCCTCTCCACTTCTGGAACAAGGGACCTATCTGCTGGAGACCAGGGCTAGGCGCGACCAGTCTTTGCATCTACTCTTATGCCCTAAATGCAAGAAGGGTTTAGGAAAGGCTCAAAGTCAATGCTCCCTCAATACCCACTAAGACAGAACAGTGACTGCTGGGACCCTGAATACCTGGGCTCCACGCCCCACCCCCGCACCAGGCCATTCTCCAGGCAGTCACCAGATGGTGGGACTGGGGGGGTCATTCTTTTCTACCTCTGCTTCTGCCTGTGCTAATTAGAATGAGCCCACATTTTGTTTCTATAATCAGAAAATTTGTTTAATGTGTTAACATTTCACACACACACACACACACACACACAAACACACAAGCAGGTCTGTGCTGAAGAAATCTCATGGGAAGTTATTCTCAACCTTCTCTCCCTCCCAAATTCTGATTTCCTTTGTGTTATCAAATGATGGTGACATTAGTCTCTATCATTCCCCTGGCCTGTGCCTCCAAGGACAGCATGGAACGTAGGCACTGTCCAATGGCCAGGCTGGTGGTTTTCTAAGAGAGGTAAGACTCGAGAGTTCCCTGGTGGCCTAGAGGTTAGCATTCCAGGCTTTCACTGTCATGGCCCAGGTTCAATCCCTGGTCAGGGAAGATCCTACAGGCTGTGCAGCATGGCCAAATGAATAAATAAGAGAGGAGAGACCCAAGACAAGTTTGGTATGGAGTATTGTAAAATCTGAATCTTCCAGAATTTAGAATCTGAATTCTAAATTCTTTCCAGGGAAAGTCAGTGGAGCCCTGTCCAACTCTGGGTAAAGGACGACTTTTCCTGCTTACGATCAACATGATCACCAGCTGGTTCTTCTTGGCGACCTGTGAGTGGGAGAAGATGCAGTCCAACACCTGAGGCATGTCTGGCTTCAGCTTCTCCCGGAGGTTTATCACACACTTGTCGTAGTGGGCTGCAGGGGGACAAGAAGCCACGTGGGGTAAGGCTCCTGCCCCCTCCTGCCCCCGTGGACTCATCACCAGTGCCTGGGGTGGTGACTCTTGCCTTGTTGGAAATGGTGCTCAACCAGTAAATATTTCCGCAGGAGGTCCAACACCACTGCCTTCATGTAGCCGCGGGCCCCACTGCGGTACCTGGGGAGGAGGAGAAGCCTGCTGAGTGATCAGTTCCATGTCCTGGGGTGCCTGTTGTCTCCAGCAGGACTTTCAAGACTTGAAAAAGGAGTTCAGCTCAGTTCAGTTGCTCAGTCATGTCCGACTCTTTGAGACCCCATGGACTGCAGCACACCAGGCCTCCCTGTGCAACCCCAACTCCTGGAGTTTACTCAAACTCATGTCCATTGAGTCAGTGATGCCACCAACCATCTCATCCTCTGTTGTCCCCTTCTCATCCCACCTTCAATCTTTCCCAGCATCAGGGTCTCTTCAAATGAGTCAGTTCTTTGCATCAGGTGGCCAAAGTATTGGAGAGAAAATACTAATAAAGAATCTGGAGGAGGACTTCCCTGATGGTCCAGTGGTTGAGGACCTGCCTTGCAATGCAGGGGACATGGGTTCGGCCCCTGATCTGGGAACTAAGATCCCACATGCTGTGGAGCAACTGAGGCTGCATACCACAACTGCCGAGTCCACGCGTCACAACCAGCGAGTCCAAGAGCCATAAGCAAAGATCCTGCGTGACGCGATGAAGATCCCGCGCGCCACAGATAAGACCCGACACAGCCAAACAAACAAATATTTTTAAAAAGAATCTAGAGGCAGCACCCTCTAATCCTCAGGTCTGGGAGGGATGCGTGAGTTGGTCCATCTGTGCTAACTCTGCCAGTCAGAGAGAGGGGCGACTTGACCAAGGTCACACATCCAACCAGAGGTCCCCAGAGAGAAGGAACAACAGCCACAGAGCTGGGATTCTGAATGGGGTCATGCGTGAATAAGTGAAAACAAATATTTTCAATTAATCATCCAATGGATAAAGACAATTTGAAAAATAAAACAAAACTTGAAAGACATTTACCAAATGATTCCTGTGTACATTTCACTTTCCTTTTATAAACAAATGGTAACCTGGAGGTTCCTTAAACTGTTTCCTCTTCTAAACCATTTCAGAACATGAGGAATGGGACGCTGAGTTTCAGGAAAGTTGAAACCAGCTTTGCCCCAGCACCAGCAAATGATAACAAGAGTACGAACCGAAAACGCTCCTTTGTTCAAATGTGATTTTTAAAAAAACACACGCACACAACATAGGATATACGTCTGAGATTTATATTTAACACAAAAAAGAGCCTTGTAGGGAATTTGATTCATTTATCATTTGTTCATACCTCCTGGTCATTTCTCCTACACTAAAGGATGAATTAGGCTTAGTGCTGAAAGAGTTCAGGGGAAAGGATTAGCCCTTGGCTATGGAACTCTCACTTTGTGGGGAATCCAAACGTAAATCTCCTTCCTCAGCTGCAATCCTATATTGTCACTATGAGTCCTCACAAGCCAAGAAGTGCCCTGAAGAGAAGGGCATTTTCCTATAGCCATCTATCTCCTGCATCTCTTACAGTTTTTGGCACGTGGCTAATATGTGCTAAATTAACTCACTCCAGTCTGAAAATGTTTGAATTCTGTCCAAGAAGGCAAAGCTTCTTGTTGGGTAGAGTTTTCATACAAAAGGGCAGTTCTTTTTTATCATCAGAATAATTCTCCCTGTTCAAGAGCTATGTAAGATAAAATACAAGTTCTTAAAGAAAATTCTTTTAAAACATTCTTACAAAGATGGAAATACAGATCCCCTTACCTGACTCTTGAGAAATCTGTATGCGGGTCATAAAGTAACAGTTAGAACCAGACATAAAACAACTGACTGGTTCAAAACTGGAAAAGGAGTATGCCCAAGGCTGTAAACTGTCACCTTGCTTATTTAACTTATATACAGAGTACATCATGCGAAATGCCAGGCTGGATGAAGCTCAAGCTGGAATCAAGATTGCTGGGAGAAATATCAACAACCACAGATAAGCAGATGATACCACTCTAACAGCAGAAAGTAAAGAGGAACTAAAGGGCTTCTTGATGAGGGTGAAAGAAGACAGTGAAAAAGGTGGCTTAAAACTCAACATTTAAAAAACTAAGATCATGGCATCCGGTCCCATCACTTCATGGCAAATTGAAGGGGAAAAAGTGGAAGCAGTGACACATTTTATTTTCTTGGGCTCCAAAATCACTGTGGACGGTGACTGCAGCCAATAAATTAAAAGATGCTTGCTTCTTGAAAGAAAAGCTATGACAAACCTAAACAGTGTATTGGGTTTCCCTGGTGGCTCAGCTGGTAAAGAATCCACCTGCAATGCGGGAGACCTGGGTTCAGTCGCTGGGTTGGGAAGATCTCCTAGAGAAGGGAACAGCTACCCACTCCAGTATTCTGGCCTGGAGAATTCCATGGACTGTATAGTCCATGGGGTCGCAAAGAGTCAGACACGACTGAGAGACTTTCACTTCACTTCACTTCAAACAGCGTATTAAAAAGCAGAGACATCACTTTGCTGACAAAAGTCCATATAGTTGAAACTATGGTTTCTCCAACAGTCATGTACAGATGTAAGAGTTGGACCATAAAGAAGGTCTGAAGAATTGATGCTTGAATTGTAGTATTGGAGAAGACTCTTTGAGAGTCTCTTGGACAGCAAGGAGATCAAACCTGTCAGTCCTAAAGGAAATCAACCTTGAATATTCATTGGTAGGACTGATGCTGAAGCTCCAAAACTTTGGCCACTTGATGCGAAGAGCTGACTCATTGGAAAAGACCCTGATGACGGGAAAGATTGAGGCAACAGGAGAAGGGGGTGACAGAGGATGAGATGGTATCTAACCATCACCAACTCAACAGACATGAATTTGAGCAACTTCTGGGAGATACTGAAGGACAGAGGAGCCTGGCATGCTGCAGTCCATGGGTCGCAAAGAGTTGGACATGACTGAGCAACTGAACAAGTTCTTTACCAATTCCTCCTTTTCAAGGATCCCCCAAAATCACAAGAATAATTTCTATAATCATTTATGGCTTGTAAAGTCATTTCATTCCACTGTCTCATAAGCAAAGCTACCATGAGGACTTGCTGTGTTTGAGCACTTTACAAAAGTTAATCTACCGGTAGTGCAAAATGATTCAGCATGTGAAGTGTTTTTAATTCCCATTTTACAGACTAGCAAACTGAGACTAGGAAGTAAAGGACGTTGCTTTGTCCTTCTGTTAGGCAGGGCTGTGCCAGGGCTGGAACTGGGGTCTCAGACCCCAGGCACTGTCTCTTGGTTTGAGCCTGCCCTTAAGATAGCAGCACCCTGGGCAACACATGGATGAGTAAGTGTGACCACCACGTCCCATGGAGGGCCTGAGACTCACTTTTGGACCAGCTGCACGATGCTCTGGGTGTTCATGAAGAAGACCTCCCGGTCAGCTTTCCGCTGCAGGGTGGCCGCGTGGCAGTCCAGGATGGTGGCTATCTGAATGGGAAAACAGGACAGGTCTGGCCACTCAGACCACACAATCTGTCCACCACACAGAAGTCACTGGAAGGACCCACCACAGGTTCCCACGCAGAGCCCAGCAGAAGATCATTCAAAAACTCCCACCCAAAGCCCTCTGACCCACCCCCCACCCCCCAGAAACGGCTCTGTGTGCCCCACTCAACGTGTGGCTTGAGGACTAAAGAGCTCAGGACGACAACAATCACATAAAGACTTATGCGTGTTCACACCATTCCTCTTCACAAACACTCCAGGGAAGGAGGAGAAGCGAATTTCCAACACCAGGGAGCAGGAGGGTGTCGGGTAGGTCCTATTTTTACAATTAGGTCGAATGCTATTGGCATACTGTTTCATGGAAACAAAAATACCTCTAATGAAAAACTTGCATCAATAACAAATTCCCAGAAGGTTCCAACATGTATGATTCTCCACTGGGGTCCTTGAGAGCTTTATTTTCATTATTTCTTCTAGTTGAGCTAGAAGTCATATACTATCATATTCCCCTCCCTCCTCTTAAAGTGTATATTTAATTCAGTGGTTTTTACTATATTCACAGAGATATGCAACCATCATCACTGATTTTAGAGCATTTTCATCACCACCCAAAGAAATCCTATAACCATGGGCAGTCACTCACTCCTGCCCCGAGCCCCTGGCAAGCACTAATCTACTGTCTGTTCTCCATGGATCTGCCAATTCTGGACATTTCGTATAAACGGAATTGGGCAATGTGAGCTTCTGTGACTGGCTTTTTTCACTGAGAATCAAGTTTTTAAGGCTCATCCCCAGGGCAGCGTGAATCATTTCATTCCTTTTTACAGCTGAACAATAGTCCAACCTAGAAGTTGACTTCGGAGAAGGCAATGGCACCCCAATCCAGTACTCTTGCCTGGAAAATCCCATGGGCAGAGGAGCCTGGTGGGCTGCAGTCCATGGGGTCGCGAAGAGTCGGACACAACTGAGCGACTTCACTTTCACTTTTCACTTTCATGCATTGGAGAAGGAAATGGCAGCCCAACCCAGTATTCTTGCCTGGAGAATCCCAGGGACAGCAGAGCCTGGTGGGCTGCCATCTAAGGAGTCACACAGAGTCGGACAAGACTGAAGTGACTTAGCAGTAGCAGCAGCAGAAGTTGACTTCTGGGAATAAACTGACTCACACTGACCTCAAGCTTCCCAAATTACTGACTAATGGTGCAAGGAAGCCTTCTCACCAGACCGAGGGCATGAAAATAAAAAAGAGGGGTCTTTTCCAGATGTAGGTTTCCTGTAACATGCTTGATAAAAGCAACCCCCCCAAAAAGAACAAAATGAGGCCACTGTAGAATTATTAGAGATTTCTGAGACTCCCCGGGAATGGCTTCCATTCTTAGAAAATCTGATATATATGTATAGCCCCACGACTGCCACCCTACACAAACCTGAGAAGGAAGAAGCAACACTACACACTAGGGAGAAAAACTCACACTCTCCTCTCATGTCAGACAGTGCAGTTCTGGAAAATGATGACTATTCGCACCAACCACCTACTCCCGATCCGAACCCAGGGACTACTGATAACTGCTTATGTCCATCTAAAACTATTGCTTTGGGGGAAAATGTTGGGATTCTGCAGAGAAGGCGTGAAAGAAAACTCTCAGGCCCCAGCATCTCGTGCTGTCGATGTGGGTCTCACAAAGCCCAACTTGATGAGAGGCTGGAGGTCCAGACTGACCGGGGGCTGAGCTCCTGGAGGGTGCGGGTGCGGACCTACCTGCTGGCTGGGGAACTGGCAGAGCACCGAGGTGATGTTGCTGGCGTACTGGGCCATCACCCTGCGGACGGCCTTCTCCACGGGGGCGGGAATGCGGCCCGACACGCTGGTCATGATCTCCTGCAGCTCCAGCAGAGGCAGCGACGGGTGCCGGAGGGTCCTCAGGAGCTTCTGCACCCAGTCCTTCAGCTGCGGCGGGACCAGAGTGTTGGCCCGAGGCCTGCAGGGGGCGTGGGTGCAGCCACCCAGCACGGGGTGGGGGGCACCCCACACACTAAGCCGTCCAGGCCCCATGCACTCTAGCAGCCAAAGATCTAGACCTGGTAGCTTCTGGAACAGTCCAGGGTAGAATGGCCCCGGACACGGAGGGGAGCAACACCCACCCGGTTTACCCACCCGGTTTCCCCACCCGGGACGGCCCCACTGCCTGCCCTGTGCATCCAAACTGCCAGCCTGGTGCGGGGTCAGGACATCAGACTTTGCAAAGCACAGGTGTTTGTGGGACGCTTGCTTTGTGCCAGACACTTTTGGAGGGCCCAAATTGACCTGTTCTCATTTGATCCTCAGAAACAACCCAGGGAGTAGGTATAATCGGTATTCTCATTTTCTGTTTGAGGATATTGAAACAGAGAGATTAATTAAGTTACCCAAAGTCACCCAGCTAGTAGGAAGCAAAGCCAGGATGCAAACTCAGAGACTCTTAATAGCTGCAGTGCCCTGCTTCTGGGTCACCGGAACTGTTGATGGTTTTTGAATGGGAAGGAGAAGGCTGTCAACCTCGTAATGAGGTTGTAAGGTTTGAACTTGAAACCATGCACACACTGGCAAGTGCAGAGGCTAAAAAAACTATTGCAATGCTGGTCATTAGGCAGCCTAACATACGGGCTAAGCACATGGACTCTGAAGCTGGAGGGTCAGGGTTCAAACCCCCTCTTTGCCTCCATATGGATGAAATAGGCAAGTTTTATAGCCTCTCTGTGTCTCAGTTTCCTCATCTGTACAATGGAAATAATAAGAGTGGATATTCTCAGTGTTGAGCTGAACTGAATCCCCAAAAGCAATGTAACCATTACACTGGTTTATAATCAGAGAGAAATGTACTCTGATATCTACAATGAAACTGAGGAATCCCCTGAGAACAGGTCCTTGATAGAAATGACAGACTTTCTCATTTCTTACCCCAATAAAGATCTCTGGGATCTTTGGGCTCTTTACCAGCACCTATGCACGTGTCTGTGATACACACCCACCCTGCACACGTGACACACCTTGATGCTAAAAATAGGCTCTGGCAGACAGTAGCCATTCATGATGTTGGTGAGATTTTCCAGGACACTGTGAAAAACCTGGTGCAGCTTCTCTCCGAGGATGGGCAGCGTTGGCTGTGAGGGGAGTTCTCCTGTGAATGGCTGAGCCTGATGAGACACAGCAGGAGCCAGAGGTCAAGACCACCGTAGCCTCCAAAGGAGATGGACCAGCCAAGGGCCAAGGCAGAGCCACCAACCCACAATATGTATGCCATACACACAGTGTGGTTAGGATGAAGCCTGAAGGGGAGGGGGAACAGAAGAAAGCATCCTACTGGAAAGTTAAAAGTGCTCATACACACCCCTGTGTGAGGGTTCCAAATCTTCCCCTTGGTAAAATGTCATAGTCAATTACCTATTCCAAATACTTTTGGAGGGTGTTAGATGTGATTTTTTTATTTTAAATGTTCACATGTTGAGGTCAGGGGAAGTCATTGTGGCTTCTACATGAGTTAACTTGAATTTCATGCTAACTAAGCAGCCTGTTTGTAGCCAAACATACAATGGACATCTGTTTTAATTATTAAGGAAAAGAGCACATTGACCAGAAGTACAGAAAGTCCATGTTAAAAATAAAGAGGAGTATGGCGGAATCTCTTTGCTGTCCGCCTGAAGCTATCACAACATTATTAATTGGCTATACTCCAATACAAAATAAAAAGCTAAAAAATAAATAAATAAAATAGAGATGCAATGCCTCCCTTCCTGGGATGCCAATGCTGGTTCTCCCCTGATGCTAGCAGGACTCCCTTCCTGGGTGCCAAGGCCATGGTGACTTGCTGTGCATACGCTGGTCTGGTTTTTTCTTTTTCACTTTTTTTTTTTTTTGAAATCTTAGAGGAAAGTCTTCCTGATTTGTTTCATGTTCATTGCTCCAACAAGACACAAAACTGTGCTGAAAACCATGCTTCTCGGGAGCAGTCCCTCAGAGTTATCTGAAAGGTTGTCTTCCAGGCTGTGGTCCTCAGTTTGGCTCAAATAAAATTCTTTTCCTATTGCCGATTATTTTTGCTGACAGATATTTCTGTCTGGCTTTGCTTTCTAACCAATATCATCTCCCTATTTTCCTATTTCTTTTCAGTTTTGCTTGAATCCCAAAGATGAATGCCTAGCACTGAGAAAATTTAGGAAACTCTCATACAAATGTACGTGCTTTTTGTAAATCATAAACATTTGGCCTTAGAGGATTCTCAAACAAAAAACTCCCCAAAGGGACTTCCTTGGTGGCCCAGTGGCTAAGGCTCTGTCTTCCAATGCAGGGGGTGCAGGTTCAAATCCTGGTCGGGGAACTGATTCCACATATTGTGAGGTGAGGCCAAAACTTTTTTTAAAAAAAGCTCCCCAAAAGGGAAACACTGAATTCATGCATTCATTCATCTCTTAATTTATTTTACGAATATCCACTCAATATGGAGTAGGAAATGGCAATCCATTCCAATATTCTTGCCTGGAAAATCCCATGGACAGAGGAGCCTGGCAAGCTATAGTCCTCAGGGTTGCAAAGAGTCGGACACGACTGAGCAGCTGAGCACATCCGCTCATCACTGACCATGTGAGGCACTGGGACCCGGGAGCTGGGGGCGTGCTATTCTGCCGGCCCAGAGCCCTCAGCTTCGCATCCCCTCCGCTCCGCTCCCAGGCCTGCAGCCCTTCAAGATCAACTGGAGGGCTTCCTGTCTCCACAGTCTGCTGCTGCTTCTCCCTCTGGACCGCCACAGCCAGCGGCCAAGGACGGTCCCTCTGACTGAGCTGAATTACAAAGACTTATCTGCTTATCTTTCTCATTGGCAATCATGAGCCTGCTGGCACTGGTGGCTAGGTTCCTGTCTCCAGAACCCAGCCCGGTAGGAAAGGTCTGCTAAAACGAATCACAAAGGTAGACACAGATTCATTTCCTGTTATCTAACAAAGCTCACTCTATTTCTACCTTTGGAAACCCTGGAAAGAGAATAATGAAAAGAAAGAGAAGAAAACAAAGGAAACTGATAGGATAGTCCAGAGAAAAGAAACAATTTGATTAAAAAAAAAAAAGGCTTTTCTAGCTTTTTTTCTTCCTGGGCATATATGCTAATTATCATAAAGAAAAACAAACAAACATTACCTGCATGAATGGGGAGCCACCTCCCTGCAGGCCTAGCTTACTGCAGGAGGGCAGGTCACCTCACGTCATGGAAACGTGACAATGCTATATAATGCACCGCGGGGAAGAGGGCTGCATCACAGTTTGCAGGAAATGAGAGGAGAGCCCTGTGCACACCTGGGGGAAGGTTCTTCTGGGCAGAGGGAGCTGGCCCCGAGGGGGAGGAGTCCAGAGCGTGTGGTTAAGGGGGAGAGGGAGGCAGAGGGTGAATTCAGGGGAGAAAGCGGGGCATAGCCCCTGGGGGACCCTGAAGATCATCGGAAGAGCGTGGGTTTTGCTCTTAGTGGGATGGGGAGCTGCTGAGGAGGGTGTGGGCACAGGCAGGCACGTTCCTGCGCCCATCGGGGTGGGTGAGGCCGGAGGGCCGCAGCCGCCGGCCTGTCCGGCTCACAGGGTGGCTGTGCCAGGTGTCACATACCGGACGCACTTTAGAAGGGTCATCAAGCTCCAGCCTGGCCACCACGCAGCCAGCTTCCAGTATAGCCCCTGGACGCCTGACGTACTTCACCCGGCCACTGTCCTGCACATTCAGGGTCGTGATCATCTTCATGGCCTGTTTTGCACAAAGAAGTGATTTCTACTTAGGTGGGGCCTCTAGGGTCTGGCCTGGGTCACCCCAAACTAGCAATTCTGGAGCATGGACTGTGTCACTTACAAAGAATGACCCCGTGGGCAGAGTTCAAGTGCAGCGGAGAGAGGAGAGCGGCATTTACACAATCTATCATGTGCCAGGCACAGTGCTGGTCATACGTCTTTACCATCTGCAAAGCCAGCCAGGGAGGCAGGTGTTCACTGTACCCATTTTACAGATGTGGAAACTGCTCCTTATTTCCAAAGGAAGGCCTTTCTCTTAGAAACACAGCTAAATCATATGATGTAGGGTGACTGACACATATGTTCCTAAAATGAGGTGCATTTTATGACTGGCTCCTTTTCTTAAAGGCAGAGAGAAAACCCTCTGGGGAATGAAGAATGTGCTTCCAGTCCAGTCAGCAGGCCCTTTAACTGGTCTGAGAGTCTGGCTGTGTGGACGCGATGAATATTACTAGCATGTATGGGCTTCAGACAGACAGGACTATCCTGCCTATGCTCAGAAGTTCACAGCTTGGGCACTCAGGTCCGCCAGGCCTGGGCTGGAACCCCTGCACCCCACCCATCACTCTGTGATCTTTAGCACATGCCGTCCCCTCTCTGAGCCTCAGTTTCCCTAACTGTAAAATGGGGGGAATGACAGGCTAGTCTCATAGGGCACTGAGAAAGATAAGCTGGAGGACGCATAGCAAGAGGCCAATGGGTGTCAGCTCCCACCACTGCTATATTTTCATTACAGGAATCATTCTCTTCCTTGGCATCAGAGAATGACCAGGTTGGAATCCTGGCTTTGTGTGACCTTGAGCGAGTTTCTTAGGCTGCCTGGGCCCCGTGTCTTCATGTGCAAAATGGAGGTTCTGTTTGGGTCCAACTCATGATTGCTAGGAAGATTAAAGAAGGAATTAAAGACAGAGAAAATGCTTAGAAGGGTGCCTGCCATGTGTTAAGTGCTTTGCAGGTGTTGGGTTACCACTTTGTAATTGCCAGCATTATCATCATTCATCACCTGGGGAGGGATACATTTTTTGAGATATTTTTCCCCATGGAATAAGGCAGGGAACCGGGGCTGAACCCCCCACGCACTGGCTCTTTGAGGGATCAGCAGGTGAGCGCTCAGGAGAAAGGGGCGGTCTGTTGGCTTGGGTGCAGCAGCCTGGCCAGAGGGCCCTTCCTGGAGGAGGGGGTGTGAGGGCGGCCCGGCTGCAGCCCCATCCTGGGGGCCAGCTCTGCGGTCACCTCTATCTCGGCGTAGCTGCCTCCAGCCTCAACGTGTTCCCCGTCCGCCACGGTGTACTTCACCAGCTTCCCAGCCGAAGGGGATCTCAGGACTGTGGGGTCGTTCTCTTTCTCAAACACGCACGTCTTGTTGCCGATGGTGATTCGGTAACTGGATGGAGAAGGAGGTGGTGGGGACACTGGAGGGGACCATCTACCCACGTGCCAGAGTCAGGCTTCTGACAGCGTCTTCCCTCCCTAACGCCAGCCCGGAGCATCACCCTGGGATGATTTGAACGACTCACTCCACTCTTCCCAAATGGTGCTGTCTGACAATTACCCCAAAGACTCTGGCGGTGAGCTGGGGTGGGGCCCCTTCCTGGCAGAAAACTAGCTCCTTTTCCTGACATAATTCCAACAGGCCCTGGCACAGAGAAAGCAATCAAGCAATATCAATATTATTCAATACATGCTGACCCAGGGAAAGGCTTCTCCTTATAACAGAACCACTTCCCAGGCGGCTCAGACAGTAAAGAATCTGCCTGCAGTGCAGGAGACCTGGGTTCGATCCCTGGGTTGGGAAGATCCCCTGGAGAAGGGAACAGCTACCCACTCCAGTGTTCTTGCCTGGAGAATCCCCACAGACAGAGGAGCTCTGGTCCAGGGTTGCAGAGACTGAGAGACTTAACACTTTCACTTTCTGTAACAGAACCAGGAGGAGCCTGCCCCGTGGGTGGTGCCTATAATCACCCTGAATGTTCTTGGCAGAGAGAACATGGGTTAAAAAGAGGTAACACAACTCCAATCTGGGGTGTATCTTGTCCGCCTTCTTCCATAGAGGACTGGGAATAGAACCTGCATTCCCTAACTGGAGCTTTTTCAGGCCTGGGGCCTCTGGAACCCCCACCCCCCATCACTCCCCCATTTTACTCTTCTTGGCCTGGGGTCTTTGCTGCCTGTTCAGCTGGGGGTGGGAGTAGGGGGGTCTGTTTCATTGTGTGAGCTCGGGCTGGTCAGACACCCGAGACCAACAGGGTCTCTGAGTCTGTCTCATGAGGCTCCCCGCACTGAGTGCTTCTGGGTCACCCCATGCTCCACCCATCTGGACACACAGCAACCTTCCCTGCTGCCATCCGCTTGTTCGATGCGTCTCGTCCCCGACAAGACTCCATGAGTTATGACCACGGCTCTCTGCTGACACCTAGTCTGACACCTGGGGTGAGTATTGAGTCGGCCAAAAAGTTTATTCATAGGCAACATCTTACAGAAAACCCCAAGCGAACGTTCTGGCCAACCCAACAGATGCTCAGATAAATAGCTGCTACCCTAACTGGATGACCGCATCTTCTCCCAGCCTTGCTCCGATGGGTGTGGACACTGCAGCTCAGACCAGAGCTGCTGGGACCCAGCGCACACCTCACAGGCTGTGGAGCTGGCAGCCCTGAATCCGTCCACATCGCTAGACAAGGGATGCCTGGGGACCTCCCATGGATGCCAACCTGCAGCCTGGGATTCCACCCTCGAGATGAGCCTCCCCAGGAGCCCCGGAAGGTCCCGGAGAAGGTGCCTCGGCTAAGAGCCTGAGCCTGTACACGGACCCCGCGGTGGGTGGGTGGGGGCAGCTGGCTCTGGGCGCCCCCGGCCACACACCTGTCCACCTCCTCCTTCAGGTAGGTGGTGTAGCTGTTGCCACTGCAGGACAGCAGGAGCCCCCCGTCGTTCAGCCGGTGGGCGTCGATCTCGATGTGAGAGCCGTTCATGACGAGGACGAACATGGTCGGAGACTGCCGGGCCACCTGTGGGGACAGGTTCTGCCCTCGAGCCGCGGCTCTGCTTGCACGCTTTGAGGGGTTAGACAGTGTCCCCCCAAGTCCACATCCTTCCCGGAACCTCGGCATGTCACCTTCCTCGGAAACAGGGTCTTCGCAGATGTAGTCAGTTAAAGAGGGGTCAGGTCGGATTAGGGTGAGCCCTGAATCCAGTCTGACTGGTGTGCTTGTAAGGCGAGGAGAGGCCCAGACAGGCACAGGAGGAAGATGAAGACAGACAGACAGACAAAGACGCACTCACAGGTAGCCGCACAAAGCCAGAGACTAGCAGTGATTGGAGTGACAACCTCTAAGCCAAGGAACACCAAGGACTGTCCACGACCACCGGAAGCTAGGAAAGGGGGGTTCCTGGGAGCCTAAGAGACCACGGCACAGCCAGCACCTTGCTGTTGGACTTCTGACCTCCAGAACTGAGAGACAATGAATTTCTGGTGAAACTGGTGAAGACACCGGTTTATGGAACTTCATTATGGCAGCCGTGGGAAACCAATACATGCTCTATCATGACTTGTTTGTGCATGTGGTCCAAGCCTACAGGTTCTGGAATCCAAAGCCCATAGGTTTCAAGGTCATAGGACTGCAGGGGGAATCCCGGGACCAGGCATGGAAAATCCACTGCAGGGGTGGCATGTGGCAGAAGTAAAACTCCCTTGAGACCCCAGAGTGTTAGAGACACCCCAGAAATAGAGACCTCTACCTTGAGGATGTACTTAACGCCTCCGTAAATTAATTCCACGTCCACAATGTTCAGCAGAGACTCTGCAGGGAGGACCTGGCCCCTGGGAGAGAAGACAGACCTACAGTGAGTCTGGGAGTAACCAAGAACTCTGCGGCCATCCATTCTCTGGATTTTAAAAACCACCCACTCTTTGCCTCTCCTAAGCATCACCACGGTTGGTTGATGAAGGCAAGGGATGGACAGTCCCAAGGAACCTGATATCCCTTAGAACTGAAGGAAACTGGTCTTGCTGCAGGATGTGAAATTTCAAAAGGGCTTCCCAAGAAGCAAACTCCACGCTGCTGCTTCTCGGAAAAAGTCCTTGCGTGGGAATCCTGCCACCTGCTTGTGAAAGAAACCGGTGCACGGACAGGGTCTCTGCTGCTGCTGCTTAGACGCTTCAGTCATGTCTGACTCTGTGCAATCCTATGGGCTGCAGCTTGCCGGGCTCCTCTGTCCATGGGAGTTCCCAGGCAAGAATACTGGAGTGGGTTGCCATGCCCTCCTCCAGGAGATCTTCCTGACCCAGGGATCGAGTCCAGGTCTCCTGCATTGCAGGCAGAATTCTCTACCGCTGAGCCACCAGGGAAGCCCATATTGGGACTCTATTACCATTCAAAAGCATATTATCTGGGACTTCCCTGGTGGTCCAGTGGCTAAGACTTGGCACTGGCAATACAGGGGGCCTGGGTTTGATTTCCAGTCAGGGAACTAGATCTCAGAGGCTGCAACTAAGACCCAGTGCAGCCAAATAAGAATATTTTTTTAAAAAGCATATGATCCAAAGACTAAAAACTTTCATCCTTCTATTTCCCTTTTGGTAGTCTCCTTTGCCTATCACAGTGGTTTTCAATGGGGGCGGGGCAGGAGGGAAGGAGATTTCTGCCTCTCCTCAGAGGACAGATCGCAGTATCTGGAGACACACTCGATTGTCCTGACTTCTGGAGGAGGAGGAGGGGATGCTTTGGATGGGCTAACGTTCCATCTGGCAAGGGTCAGCCCTCACCACAGAAGATGACCCAGCCCCAATTGCCAGTGGTACACAGGCTGGGAAACCCTGGTCCATCCTAAGAGGGACCTCCTGGCCATCTTCATGGGGTCCATTTCACTGGTCACCTGACTCACTTATAGAGGTGACCTATAACCTGCTTTGCTTCTCAAGTTCACATCCTCCTCTCTGAACTCCTGCCTGTTGTAACTTAACTTACACAGGTCAGCATGAGTATGTACATGGCTGTCTGAAGGATGGTGGCTATCCTGACCTTGAGAATCCCTCTCGCCCCCACCACCCCAATCATCCAGCCTCTTCCAGGGCAGCCCAGGTTTATCTGAGGAATTCTAAGGAGACAAGCACATTGGAAGGACCAATGCTGAATGAAGATAGAGCTCCAATACTTTGGCCACCTGATGCGAAGAGCTGACTCACTGGAAAAGACCCTGATGCCGGGAAAGCCTGAGGGCAGGAGGAAAAGGTGATGACAGGAGGGGTTCACTAACTTCATGGTGACTGATCTGCACCCAGAGAAAGTATGTCTCTGCCTTACTTGCCACCAACACCAACACCACTTACTTGCTACCTTTCCCAAGAGGGGAAGGGAAGTACCCCTACGCCCTACCTTTCCAGCGAGTGTAGGAAATCCGTCATGCAGGTTCTGAACATGGAGTCGGCCACGTTCAAGGCTCCGCACACGACCCCGAGCATGATATCTGGCTTCTCAGCCTGGGAGAGACTCTGTGGGTCAGTATCCAGCGGGACCAAGGCCCGAGGGAGCCGGGGGAGGGTGGTGGTTCCAGGACCCCCAGGGGCGACGCGTGCAGCCCTCTACCTGCACTTTCTCTGCAATGAGGTTATCCAACCAGCTGGTATCAATGTCGTTGTTCTGAAAGCTCTCAGTCTCCAGAAGGTTGGTGAGATATTCCACGGTGGTCCTGAAGTCACCCCGGATGGATAGTTCCTTCAAAGCCACCACCATGTTCCTTGAGGGGAAGACACACAGATTGCTTTCCCAACTAATGTAGGTGTTATCAGCTCCAGCATGGTTCCCAGTGAGCCAAAACCGCAGAGAAGAGAGTGTCCCGAATCAGACAGCCTCCAGCATGGACTGGTCCAGCAAATCTTGGGCCAGTGACTAAACTGCCCCAGCCTCAGTTTCCTCATCTGGAAAATGGGGGGATAACCCTGCCTTCTCACAGGTACTTGGTGATTCAAATGAGATGATCCATATAAAGCACATGGTCAGGGAGGACCCTGGTGGTCTAGTGGTTAAGACTCTGCACTTCCACTGCAGGGGCCATGGGTTTGATTCTTGGTAAGGAAACTAAGATCCCACAGGTTGAGCAGCATGGCCAAAAAAAAAAAAAAAAAAAGAAACAAAATTTATTAGAAATGAAAATAAAGTCCAACATGAATCCTCAAAATAAATAAATAAATAAAACACATGGTCCCTGATCGGTAAATGTTAGCTGCTATGAAATGATTAATTACAGCGATTATAATTGTCATCAACCTTGCCAGTCACTTTGACTCTCTCTCCTGCTGGACCTGTCAAAATCGCTCAGTGTCCCAGGAGGAGCCACTCTCCAGCTGTCCACCCAGCTGCCCGGTGTGACTGGGGTGCACGGACAGATGGCTGACACCAGTACCCAACTCTGCACAGGGCAGTCACCAGCCTGCACATGCTTGGCTGTGACCACCTCCTGTTTCCCAGAGGGCCCCCCCGCCCCCCGCATCAAACACGGTGTCCAGTCCAAAGGGCAGAAAACCCCACTCTCTATGCAATCAGGGAGAGTGTTGTAGGGGAAACACACCAGATGATATCACTTATACATGGAATCTAAAATATGACACCAACGAACGTATTCATGAAACAGGAACAGACTCACAGACATAGAGAACAGACTGTGGTTGCCAAGGGGGAAGGGGGTGGGGGAAGGATGAGTGGGAGGTTAGGGTTAGCAGATGCAAACTATTATCTATAGGATGGACAAACAGAAACGTCTTTCTGTATAGCACAGAGAACTGTATTCACTATTCTATGATAAACCATAACAGAAAAGGATATTTTAAAAAAAGAATGTACATATATATATACATATGTTTAACCGAATCACTTTGCTATACAGCAGTAATTAACACAACACTGTAAATCAACTATACTTCAATTTTTTAAAAGATGGAGGTGTTTTGGCATTTGAGGGCTTCTTTGTCAATGTGGATTTCTCGGGGAACTATTTAAGAGACTTTAATTTAAAGAGGGCCCCCCTGCACCTTTTTTTTTTTTTTAATAAAAAGCTATAGCACTCAGCACCTTTTAAACTCCTGGAATTACCTTGAACATTCTTTGAATCACCTTCAAGTTCAACCTGTAACAAGCTCAAGATCAGTGACCTTGGTGAACTGATTCCATGTATGTCGTCACAGGTCTCAAACGAGGGAAGAGGACAGATTGTGTTCTTGGACTTTGGCATAAGGTGTTTAAGATAGGGTCTGCTATTCATTCCCTAAACTGCTCTGCATCTGAAGCCACAGGCCAATAATTTTTAGTTTCTCAAAGGAAGGGGTGGAAGGAAGGGAAGGAGGGAGATACTAACGAAATGGCCTCTTCCCGGTTCTCTCCCCAGGAGAAGCAGTGCCCAAACTGGGAATCCGCAAATTCGTGTAAGCCACCAGTAGCAGCCACGCTGAAATAACCCCATACATTCTTGCTGCTGCGGAAATTCAGTTCTTGGACTGTTCCGGAGCTTGGCTTAAACCCCTGGAGCCCAGACAGAAAAAAGCAAAACAGAAGAAATTATTACTCCAGATCTATTTTCATCAGAATTAAATCTTAGGAAAACCCAAGAGTCCCTCCCACACCCAAGAGCTTAGTGTGATCAATAAAACACTGATACTTGTCACAAGCAGTGTAGGTGTATCCAGAGGAGCACGTCCAGGTGTGGAATTTTTATTCTTAAAAAAAAGTTGAAAGATAACAACCGAGTTGGGGACCGGCAATCACTTGACAGAGCTGAGTGACAGTACCTACTGATTTTAAACGCTTGCCATTGTTGATCAGAAAATGTTCAAATAAAAGAGGACAGGGATTTCCAATTCTAGACTATGGCAGATACAGAAATCCAATGTTAGCCCTAGCTGATGCTAATATACACATAAACTAACTTTGTGAGAATGACCCATCCACTTCTGAGTATAATTTTCTGGTAAAAGAGGAGAGGTGGGTTGAATGCTCTGGCTGGGATTGCCTGTGATAAAGGCATTCATTTTGGCAGACACGCTTGGAGGCGAGAGATGCAGTTTCAGGTGGCTGGGTTTTTTCTATATGTGATCCTCCATCCTGTGAATAAGCCATCCACCCCTTAAAAGTCTCCCATTTTGCCTGTCCACCACCGGAATTGATTGTTTGCTCTCAGCCAAAGATCCCAAACTAATACAGTCACCATAGGAGAGAGGGGCTAAAACTTCTCTCATCCCAAGTTTCTTGAATGAAGTCTTTAGATAACTAAATCGTGGTAGATTATGGTGGTTATGTGACAACTGTTGATACACACGTACACTGTGACAGACGCCAACTGCTTGGTACTTTAAGGCACAAGTAAGAACAAGTCACAGAGGGACTCCTTAGACCAGGGGTCCCCAACCTCTGGGATCTAATGCCTGATGATCTGAGGTGGAGCTGATGTAATAATAACAGAAAGAAAACGCACAATAAATGCCATGTGCCTGAATCATCTGCAAACCATCCCCCCCCACCCTAGTCCACAGGAAAACTGTCTTCCATGAAACCAGTCTCTGGTACCAAAAAGGTTGGGGATCGCTGCCTTAGACTGTATGTTGTAGTAAAAAGTTCATGGGGCCAGAAATCCAAGGATCTGCGCTCTAAACCCAGCTGCCCGTCCCAAAGATGGACACATGTGACCTTCGTCGTCCACCACTGGGACACGGCCAAGGGCTCAGCAGGTCCTGGGCATCAGGCCGGCCACCCCAACCTCTGGAGCTGCGATATAGGGTGACAATGCCCAGAGGCGTGGCTGTCATCTGACACACCAGGCATCTGCCTGGTCCCTGGCATACAGCACCTGTGGATAATATACACCCTTCATCCCTCCCCTTCCTGCATTTCAGTTGCCTCAACTGTAAACTGTGAGGCCTCGGTATCTCCTCCAGGCTAAGGTTCGGGGGCTGCCCCAAGCTGGGAGCTTGGAGGTGGTGGAAACGCAGCCCCTCCCCACCACCACCCCCGACTTGCCTCATCTGGGTTTTCACTGGTGATTCTGGCTGCAATGACATGGCCTCGGGCAACGGGGGGGTTGCTAGGGGTCTCAAAAGAAATGGGCGTCATCCCCCACGGGGACTCTCCGTACAGAAGCCGGATATCCTTCAGCCGGTGCAGCGGCACACCCATGGCAATCTGAAATCAAGAAGTCCATCCCGTGAAAGGGTCGGTCCTCAAACACAGAGCCCAGAGCTAGAGGTGATGGAGGAAGCAGTGCGGTGAATGATTTGGAATATACTGAGCTCCTCCTGGGCCCACAAGATGGTACAACATGGGAGACGCCAGGAAAGAAAAAGACAGCTTGCCTCTGCCCCCATGGAGCAGTGTCCTTGGGCAAAGAAGCAACAGTCACAACACCTAATGAGTATCGATAAAAGTTACAGATTCTTAGTAGGTGGGAGGGGAGGGGAAACAGCATCCAGAGGCAGAGATAAAGAAAGTTTTGTGAAGGACGCAGGGAAAGCTGATCTGGAGGAACGAGGAAGAAGCAGATGACGGAGGACACCAGCTGAGCCAAAGGATCACACTGAGTCTACTGGGTCTTAGGATGTGGCCCACCCAAAGGGACCCACCAGCACCTGTGTCATATCCCGCCAAAGTGTGTGAGCGACTCCCAGCAGGAAGGAATGACCAGGTCAGTCCAAATGGAGGGAGGTCTGACCTCAGCAGGACAGGAGACCCCAGCCCCAGCCCCCACTCTGGGCAGAAGCCGCCCCAGGGCGCAGAGCCCGTCTCCTTGCCTGCAGCTGGGCAGCAGGCAGGTTGACATCCGCGATCATTTCCGTGCAGGGATGCTCCACCTGCAGGCGGGGATTCAGCTCCAAGAAGTGGAAGCTGCCGTCCTGGCTGTAAAGGTACTCGACAGTCCCCGCGCTCACGTAGCCCACCGTCTTGGCCAGGAGCAGGGCACACTGCAGACAAGATGGGGAAGGAGCGGGTGCCGGTGCTTTTCTCGGGGGGGAAGACATCCTGGTTCCCTGACCGAATGCAGGCTGAGGATCTGCCGTGTGTAAATGACCTCAGGACCTCAGAGATCACAGCCCAACAAACCTGCGAGAGGCTGAATTCATCTCCTCCCTCCACTCCCTGCCCCTTTGTCTCTTCCTGGACACCCACGCCACTTTGGCAACTTGGGCATTGAGAGCTCTTGCTGGCACTGAGCTGAGATGCCTCCCCCACCCAAGCTCCCCAGAGCTCACCTGCTCCATGAACTCAAACACGGCGGGCGTGGCAATGGTGGCCGGTGCCTCCTCTATGATCTTCTGGTGCCTCCGCTGGATGGAACAGTCGCGCCCGAACAAGGACACTGCATTCCCGTACTGGTCGGCGAGGATCTGGACCTCTAGGTGCCGGGCTTGCTGGGCCAGCTTCATGAGGAAGATTGGGGAGCCAGGGGTCTCGTTCTGTACCTGGGGGAGACAGCAGGATGGTGGGCTCTTCCCTGGGGAAGCAGGGCTGGAGCAGGAAGCTCTCCAAGGAGAGCATGCCACAATGGCAGGGATGCCCATGGTCTTGATGATCTTTTAGTTTTACCTCTTCTCAAAGACATATTCTCAAAATCAAACATGATCAAAAATACATAATGTAGAAGATGGAGTAAAAATAAGGATTCACATGGAGTTATTTGTAAGACATTTTTTAAAAAAGCAGATTACAATAACACATGGGAAGATCCCACTTCTGTGAAAAATAATACAACAGAATTATGGCGACTTCCCTGGTGGTCCAGTGGTTAAGGATCCGCCTGCCAATGCAGGGGACACAGGTTTGATCCCTGATCTGGAAGGATCCCACACGCCTCGGGACAACTAAGCCCATGTACCACAACTACTGACCCGCATGTTCTAGAGCTTGTGCTCTGAGACAAGGAAAGCCACTGCAATGAGAATGCTTGCCGCAACTAGAGAAAACCAGCATGCAACAATGAAGACTGAGCACCGTCAAAAATAAATAAAATAGTTTAAAAGCAAACAAAAAAGTTGAGAACTATATGAAGGTCTATGTAAAAGCATATACTACAGTAAGAGTACTGGAAAGAAACCCAGGGGCTAACAGGAGTTATGTTGGTGTTTTTTTTTTCTTTTCCAGATTCTTTTCCCTTATAGGTTATTACATAATATTGAGTATAGTTCCCTGGGCTACACAGTAGGTGCCTGTTGGTTATCCATGTTAAACGTAGTAGCGTGCATATTTTAATCCCAGTCTCCTAATGTATTTCTCCTAATGTATTCCTTCCCCCACCCCCCAGGCAGAATGGTTTAAAAGTAGAAAACCAGTTACAAATAAGTAAATACACGATTTGTTCCAACGATAAAATTGATTGTCTACAAACATTAAAAATACTGAAACTGCTAAGCTGTACAAAATATTCCATCTCTCCATAGACAAATAGTCACAGATAGATATTCTCACAAACAGGTATCTCTGAAATCCTTTACAGACACACTGGTTCATAGAATCAAACATCTAAGGAAACAGTGTACAGATCAACCCAAGCCTTGGACTTTTTGGAGGAAAGATGCATACATCCGCTTTGTAACACAACGCAGTGATACTTCAGCTCCCCCCAGGGGTTCTCTTGGTTGTGACACAATAGCATTAGTGGAAAGAATCTGGTGGTCACCAACCGAAGAAGCACTATTCCCAAAGACATGTGGCAAAACACATGATGCGAGGAGCTCACTTGTCTGAACAGGATGGGGAAGTCCTCAGCAGTCTCCGCCTTCTGGATTCCTTTCCCTCCGCCGCCTTCAGAAGCTTTGATCATCAAGGGAAAACCAATTTTTTCTGCTGCCTGGGGGCAAAAGACAAACAAACCTCCACAGAGATTTAGACAGTTTCTGCTGTTACCGGGCTTATGAGAAGGTTCTGGCTCCTGCCCCCTGTCCTCCAGGATCTGCACTTACCTCCAAGCCTTCATCTACATCTTTGACGCAACCAGCATTGTAGACGGACTCTGGGATGGTGATCCTTTGCCCCTCCGGTAGACTGTGTTCCTCCCACTCCACCGTCAGACCTGGAGGGTCACAGAGAAAACAGAAGCCTCCCCAAAGAGCCTAGACGTGAACAGGGCCTCTTCCCACCACAGTGGCTCTAGGCCTGGCCTCTGGGCAAACAGAATTCAGACACAGCCCTTCAGTTTCCCACTGTGCGCTTTCATTTCCTTAAGGATGGACTCGACCCTGAATGGGAAGCCAAGCTCAAGACAATTCAGACTGAGTCCACCAGGAACAGCCATACTGTTCTGAATTTAAAAAAAAAAAATCCCAACTCTATCTTATGGAGTCATTTGTATGTCAATCACTACTTTCTAAAATCCTATGAAGATTTCAAAAACAAACAACAACAAACAAAAGAAAAACAAACTTTTCACTCCAAATTTAAAATTTCAATCTTTGTAGGAAAAAATCAAATTGTTTAGAAACTCTTGAAATGTTTCCCTGTTTTTTTAACTTATTCTAAAAATTCCACTTTAAGGAATTTACCCTAAAGAAATGATTAAAATGTACATAGAGAGTTAGCTACAGGATTATCAAGGCCTTAAATATTTTCATTTTTAGAAAAAATTACTTGGAAACAACCTGACAGTGTAACTACAGAGGACTGTTAGTAAATTAAGGTACATCTGTATGACACAATTCTCTGCAGGCACCGGAAGTGCTGTGAAGTATATTTATTGACATAGAAAGACTAGTGAGGAAAAAAACACGTCACGAACTATTAACTATAAGAGCTCTGGCTTTTAAACGGATGTGCCTAGAAAAAGGGGCTGAAATAATAAAATACATGATCAAAACCAGGTTCATTGGATTATAAACAATTTCTATTTCTTTTTCTTACACTTTTCCTATTTTCTAAGATGTCTACAACGATATCATACCACTTTCTTGATAATTTAAATTTTTAAATGAAAGAAGTAAAGAAGCATACTCCTGTCACCCCTTCTGCTCTCAAGGTTGGGCCCAGGCATCCTCCCAAATTGACGTCCAGGGCCCCTTACCACTTCCGCTCCAGGGCAGCGTTGGGATCTGCAGGGTCTGGGCCACGATGGTGGAGGCAATCTTGTCTCCTAGTGCCCACATGGCCTCGCTGGGAGGGCCTGAGGGGTGGGGCAAGGGGGAAGGCAGACTCAGGCCCTCGAAACTGGGGGCTGATCAGGTACACAAAAGAAAAGTCCCCAGGTCCAAGCTTTTGAGGATTTAACATCAAGATGGGGAAGAAAAAAGATCTATTAGTCTGCTATTTCATCAGTCAACTTTCAAGACATGTGGACTGTAAACATGATTTATAGCTTAAGCTAAGTGGCCTATACAAAGTTCACCAGAAAAAAACTAGATCAAGTTGGGGCAAGCCAGCACCTCAAAACACTAGACCATGGGTTGGCAAGCTTTTTCTATAATGAGCCATAGGCAATACATAAATGAATGGGCAGGGCCGTGTTTCAATAAAACTTTATTTACAAAAGCAGGCAGCAGGCTGGATTTGGCCTGTAGGCTGTAGTTGGCTGGCACTAGGGCTGGACCATCAACTCCCAGAACTAAAAATGAGAGATAAAGAGTCCCATGTGACAGCCAATGAGAGGCCATGGAAAAGAACACATCAGTGAGCACAGGTTACCAGGCAGACCCTCAGGTGAATATCAGGTACTGACTTAGCACCAAGCTGCTGTATACAGGAGTCTGTGCTGTGGGCCCAGAGGTTAAGGAGTAGCAACAGGGATTTACTGAGAATGGTAAATGATTCTAATTTACACACGAGATGACAGACAACCTAACTGAGTAAAGTTTACAAATTATACATCTGAATTCGGAAACAATAAGTATCATTTTACCCAATAAGTAAGTAGCAGAGATGAGGGGTTCTGGTCCCAGGGGGTGAGGGCATTCCAAAGGCCTAAGAACAGCCCAAGCAAAGGTGTGGCCTAAAGATTTCCAACCTGAGTTAGAAATCTGAACATGGCTGGTGTCTGAGTACCAACAGGAACACCAGCAGAGGGTTCTGCTTGCCCCAGCATCATTCTGCTGTGGTAACCATGGTAATCGCTCTTTCCCTGGGCTGGCCAACCTCTCCATGTGCCCTCCCACTGCTAGACTCAGTTGCTCCTGACCATGAACGTGTGATGTGGGAACATCAACAGGCCCCCTCCTTACAGGGCTGCACTAGCGAGAATTCCATCAAGACCCCCATTCCCACATATCTGATGGAGGTGCACTCTACCTAGGAAAGCAATCTCGTGCTTGCGCAGGAGCTCCGGAAGTTTGGGGTTTTCAGAAGCATGGCCCCAACCAGCCCACACCGCCTGCAGACACACAGAAGCACAAATAGAGGTCTTTCTTCAAGAATCTGCCTCCCATCAAACCCCAAAAACTCCTTGCTGGGTCCTACCAGCCCTGGATTTCAGAGTCTCCTAGGACCCAGCACCTCCGTCCCTTCTGAACTGCGGAATCAGGTTGCTCCAGAGCTCAGGGCATTGTCCCCATCACAGGCAGACTGGGGGTGCCCTGTCTGACTTACCTGCACGGGGATCCTCTTGGCGATATCCACAATCAGCTCCACGTTGGCGTAATTGTTGTTGTTGGGCCCTCCTGGGACGGGGACATACTGATCTGCCATCTTGATATACTCTGGAATTAAACAAGAGAGAGGCAATCAGAAGGACTGACAGACCCAAGTTGAGGACAGGACACAACTATGCATGGCCACTGAAAGGATAACCATGATGATTCTAGGGTCACAATGGAGGAACAGGTATGATAGTTTGAAGAAAGAACCGAGTTTGACTTTAATTGTGTGAAAATATGTGTGTCATGGCCTGGAAGGCAACAAAAAAGGAAGCAAGCTATCAACATAGTTGGATTAGAAGTGGGTTTTAAAACATTATATATATTTTTAATTTTTGGCAGGGCCATGTGGCTTGTGGGATCTCCATTCCCTGACCAGGGATTGAACCCATGCCATGGCAGTGAGAGCCTGGAATCCTAATCACTAGGCCACCAGGGAACTCCCTAAAAATTTTTATGTAAGGTGTTATCTTAATACTGTTTTGCCACTAAACAATACGTTTGCTTTTAATCATGGTAAAAAAAAAAAAAAGCCACATAACAAAATCTACCATCATAATCACTTTTTAAATATATAGCTCAGAAGTGTCAAGAATCTTCACACTGTTGTGAAACAGATCTCTGGAACTTTCTCATCTCATACAATTCAAACTTGATACCCATGAAGTGACAGCTTCCCGTCCCACTGCCCAGCGCCCCTGGCACCCACCCTTCTGCCTTCTGTCTCTATGAATCTGACTGCTCAGGACCTCATGTAAGTGCAAACATCCAGTATTTGTCTTTCGGTGACCGGCTTATTTCACTGAGCGTAATGTCCTCAAGGTTCACCTGTGTTATGTGCTTAGTCACTCAGTCGTGTTCGACTCTTTGCAATCCGATGGCCATGGACTGCAGCCCACCAGGATCCTCTGTCCCTGGGATTCTCCAGGCAAGAATACTGAAGTGGGTTGCCGCACCTTCCTCCAGGGGAGCTTCCCCACCCAGGGATCGAACCCAGGTCTCCCTCATTGCAGGTGGATTTTTTACCATCTCAGCTACCAGGGAAGCCCCACCTGTGTTATAACGTGATGATTCCTTCCTTTTCATAGCTGATTTTAATCAATGCTTTGATTTTAATATACTCAAGCTCTTCAAATCCAGAAATTCTACTTTTAGGAACATGTTCTAAAAAAATATTCATCAATAAGGCCAAAGACATGTAAAAGGGTGTTCATGGGGCAGTGTGTTTTTATTTTTTGCCTGTGGAACTTCCCTGACCAGGGATTGAACCCAGGCTCCTGCAGTGGAAGCACAGTCTTAACCACTGGACCACTGAGGAAGTCCCTCCTCATAGGACAGTGTTTTGAACTGTGCAAAGGTAGATTCAATCAAAAGTCATGAGTTAGTACATCTGCACTATGACATTCTCTAGGACCTTGAGAAGGAACGATGTCAAATGTTACGTGCAGACTTTGGAAAAAACTCAAGAGCAGTGCTTCCTTCCAGCCCGCCAGCCTCTGATGTTGACCCAACATGGTGTGTCGGTGATGAGAGAGTTTCCAGAGATTACAGATCTAGGCGTCAGGCCATGACCCGCTCCTTGTTGAATTTAATTTTTGTGTTGGAGAAGATAAACAAGAAAACAATCAGGGTAAGCACAGACTGTGGACAGTTCCAGGGCTGACAGGGATGGCCAGGAGAGCTACAACACTCAAACTGTGCGTGGGGGAGTGGAGGCCTGCTGTGCAAAGAGCTTCCGGAAAGCACTGTCAGCAAACGGTCCGCAGCTTTCCAAGCCTCTGCAACAGGAAAGAGCGAGGCCAACACTGATGAGGCCAGTGTGCCTGGGACCCAGGGATGGAGGCTGAGGGGCCCCCTGAGACGGGGGTTTGGGAGGTCAGCAGGGGCCAAGTCATGTGAGGCCTTAACTGGCCTTGGTGAGGTTCTCAGACTTTAGCCTGAGTGTGAGGAGTGACCCCACAGCATCGGACTGCGGACTCAGCCCACAGTTCCAATCCCCAGGACCCTGGGCAAGTAAGTCACACCTTTGTGCCTCGATTACCTCATCTGTAAAATGGGGCTAACGAGCAAACCTGTCCTCACTGTAGTAAAATGGAGATTCCATCTGTGCAGAGCAGAGCCCAGGGCCTTCACTATGGGGAAGTTCAGGGGGTGAGGGAGCTGCTGCTGGGTACGGGGTCGGGGGCGGGGCATGCTGATGGAACCTGAGTTGTGTTTTAAAAGATCTGTTTGGCTGCTGTGTGCAGGACCTGTAAAGGAGCATGATTGTTCAGGGGAAAAATCAAACTGCCCAATAGTTATTCACAGAATGATCTATGCTGATAGACATGGAGCGGTAAATAAGTAGAAAAATGAAGGAATGATTGAAAAACAGCATATACCTGTGCAAGAAAAAAGCATCTGGAGGAAGAGATGCCAAGCTACTGTAACATGGACATTCCTCAAAGGTGAGATTTCCACTTTGCATGTTAACCATTTGCATTTTTATAAGGCATATGGGTCACTCTTGTTAGCAACAGATATGTTAATTAAATAGAGAAGATTGGGAAATAAATATGGAATCGGGAGAGGTACCCTGTGATGCTCTCTGGGGTGCAGGATGGACTTGGCCCAGGCTGAGTGGAAGAGGTGAGGACGGGGAGTGGCGGAGAGGGAGGGAGTCAGGGCCCGAGTACCTGCGTTGGCCTTGAGGTCCTCTGGTGTTACCATGACTGCGAACCGGATGGCCCGCTCATTTCGGAACATCTCATAGGCCCACCTGCGGATGGAGCGCATGCATTTCACGGCGGCGATGCCATTGTTGGCGATGAGCACCTGGACAGAGGGAAAGGGCAGGGGGCCTGTGCTGGAGGCTATGTGCTATCCCAGCTTTCATCTCACCTCTGAGAGCCTCCACGGGTACCTCTTGCTTCTGCAAGTGCTCACCAACAGGTGGGCCTTCCTCTGCAGCCTGAGGCAGGTTGGCCTACCCCACCCCACCCCGAGTGCCGGGACCCCACCTGTACCTTCTCGATGACCAGATTCCCCCCAAAGCGCGTGACGAACTCGGCAGGGGAAGCCACGGTGAAGTCTCTGTGCAGGTCCACCTTCTTCTGTTCTCGGCCCCTTCTTGCCAGGTGGAGCCCCGACATGCTGGGCCTACGAGGGAACAGGACAGGCCCGTGAGCAAGCAGACTGGGGACGCGCAGGCCCCTAGGAAATTCACTTCCACAAAGAAGCCGAAGTCCATCAGACTCCTGCAGCTCTGCAGTCCCTCTCTGGGGACCTTGAAACACTTTACGAGGAGACTTCAAGAGATCAGATCACAAAAGCAGCAGAAGAGACCCCCTGACCTGTCCTGAGCTGTATGTTCAGGTTTTTCATCTTCAATACACTCTTTATATAAATTCTCACAATTTAGGAACTCAAATAATACAAAAAAAATAATAAACTTACAACAGGGTACAAGTTTAAGATCAGAGAAGTACACATTCTAATACTTTATACTTGTGAAGCAGTTTGTACGTTTCATGTGCTTTTCTGTACTTCTATATCAAGCTTAAAAAAAAACTGAAAACAATAAAGAAATGTATTACAACAAAACAGAAGGTCCTTGTCCCATCGCCCCTCTAGGACCCCACTCCAGAGGAAATCACGTTTGACTCTGGCATTTACACATTTCTGTGGTTCTGAATAATGTGTGCACGTTATCTTGTGAGTTATCCATTAAGACACCATCTATCTATGAGCTTCTTATTATAGCAGACGTGGAATTACTCCTCATAAGCAGCCACCCCATCCCCTTTCCCCAACCTCGTAATACAGGTATCCTGCAATTTGGTAAATTTATGGTGTTTTATGAGTCTGGGATCATTATTCACAGGTGAGGGTTTGTGGCATACCAGATGTCCCTTTCTATTTGCTTTTTTTTCCCCCACCCTGGAGTTAACTTTTTTTTTTTTTAACTTGGTTTTCCTTGCATCTTCATCTCACTCCTCAGCCTCCTAGGACATGTAAGACCATCAGTTCCACTAATTTTTCATTGGCCACATCCCTCCTGGAGGCCTCGACACTCCTTTCATCTGGACACAGTCCACTAAACCCCTGTTCAACCATCACCTGGGACTTCCCTTTACTGACATCCTTAGGATCCCCTGTGCCTTTCCTGGGGGCTTTATCCCCCGAATCCAGGGTGCCACATGGCTCCCTCTTTTTGGATAGACCCCTTTGTCTTGCTAGGGCATATCCTACAGTAGTTTCATCCAGTTAAAAAGATGACAAATGGCAGGACATGCCTGTCTTGGTCCCGGTTGTATAGGCTTCTTTTGTCACTATCACCCCAGAGACCTCCTTTGGTTCTCTTAGCTTCCTTTGCTTTTCTGTCCTCCATGTCTTGCTCTTCTTTGATCTACTCTCTTGTTTCAATGGGAGACATCCTTCAGTAGCTTTCTAAGAAAATGTTCGGGGGAGCAAATGTTTTGTGGCCTTGCATGTTCTAAAACTGTCTTCCTTCTGCTCTCACACTCGATCTGATCATTTGGCTGTGCGTGGAATCCTAGGAGGGAAAGCCTTCTCCTTAAGAATTTTGGAAGCCTCAAGCCATTGTTGTTGTGGCTTTCAAGAATGCTAGAACCAGAGCTATGCTGATCCTTGGTCCTTTTGTAGGTGACCTGTTTTTTCCTATCCAGAAGCTTGTAGGTTCTTCTCTTTGCACCAGAGTATTCTGTAAGTTTAGGGAACAATTTTAGGAATGTGCTGGGGTGTGTGTCTACTTCCATCAGTAACACTGGGAAGCTGTCAGATTCCTTCAATCTGGAAACTGAAATCTGGAGATTTATTTGCAAATTTTCCATCACTTTCCCGACAAAGGTTTGGGTCGTCAAAGCTACGGTTTTTCCAGAAGTCATGTACAGGTGTGAGAGTTGAACTATAAAGAATGCTGAGCACTGAAGAATTGATGCTTTCGATCTATGGTGCTAGAGAAAACTCTCGAGAGTGAGTCCCTTGGACAGCAAGGAGATCAAACCCATCAATCCTAAAGGATATCAACCCTGAATATTCATTGGAAGGGCTGATGATGAAGCTGAAGCTCCAATACTTTGACCACCTGATGTGAAGAGCCAACTCATTGGAAAAGACCCTGAACCTGGGAAAGATTTGAGGACAGGAAGAGAAGGGGACGACAGAGGATGAGATGGTTGGATGGCATCACCGACTCAGTGGACATGAGTTAGAGCAAACTCTGGGAGACAGTGAAGGACAGGGAGGCCTGGCGTGCTGCAGTCCGTGGGGTCACAAAGAGGTGCACATAACTGAGTGACTGAACAACAACAAAATTTCCATAGTGACTTAACTGCCTCTTTTTTCTTCACTTTCTCCTATTATCTGGATGTTGAAATTCCTGAACTGGCCCACGAGTTTATGTATTTTCCCCTCTCTTATTACTCTTTTCTTATTCCTTCCGGGCTAGTCCCTCAGCCTTATCTCCTAACTGTTCTAATAGCATGCTTTTAGTGTCCAAGAGCTTGGTTTGGGGCTGTAAATGTCCCCTTCCCCATGCACCCTGATCCCACATGTGAAGCACTGTCCCTACCCCCGATGAGGGTATTTACGGTAGCTTTTCCAAGCTCTCTTCTCCTGATGTGGTTTTTGTACCTCCCACGTTTCCTGTGTCTCTTTTCATTGGGTGTTTGGGGTTTGCCTTCCATCTTAGAAGGCACTCCAACTTCCATCTTATCAGACACTCGAATGTCTCATAAGCCGTGGTTGCTTTCTCAGGACCAAGAGCAGGAACCAGAGAGCTGATGAAAAGTCCTGGGCATGTGGTGAAGTCACTGAACCCTGAGCTCAATGCAGGGTAATGTGGGAGGGCTGTGTGTTGGGGAATTTCAAGTATTTTTAGAGTCATCCTCGCTGGCTGGTCCAGTTCCCCTAGTGAGGACAAGTCTGTGAGGCTTCAGTTGTTGAGTCACTAAGTCGTGTCCTACTCTTTGCGACCCCATGAACTGCAGCAAACCAGGCGTCCCTGTCCTTCACTATCTCCCAGAGTTTGCTCTAACTCATGTCCATTGAGTCAGCGATGCCATCTAACCATCTCATCCTCTGTCGTCCCCTTCTCCTCTTGCCCTCGATCTTTCCCGGCATCGGGGTCTTTTCAAATGAGTCAGCTGTTTGCATCAGGTGGCCAAAGTATTCGAGCTTCAGCATCAGTCCTTGCAATGAATATTGAGGGTTGATTTCCTTTAGGATGGACTGGTTTGATCTCCTTGCAGCCCAAGGGACTCTCAAGAGTTTTCTCCAGCACCACAGTTTGAAAGCATCAATTCTTCGGTACTCAGCCTTCTGCCTGGAAGTTAAAGGTTGGCCAGGCACTGGGACAGGTCTTGGGGACAGGACAGCTTTTAGGATTCAGCACCAACACAGCACCCATCCTCTGGTTTGGGAAGTAGGCCACACACACTCCACCACACTCATCAGGGTCCAGTCCAAAGACCCTCTACTTCCCACCCTCCAGAGATCAAACCGTCTGCCTGCAGCTGGGGTGGAAATGGGCAGCCCCCAGCCACCTGGGCAGATGAGGGGACCTGGGATTCTTTCACCTTGTCCTCCTCATGTTGGGTCCCCAGATGCAGAAGGACCCGGCGCCTTTGGGATACAGGTTCTCAGCTTCTCTCTCTGCCGCCTTAGGGCTCAGTCCTCTTGGTCCTGTTAACCAGTGACTGCTTGTTCATCTGCTTTCCGGCTTCCAAAATGTCACTGCTGACTCCTGCTTCCGTTCTGCCAGGGTCTGACGGGTTTCCAGCTCTTTAAGAAAAACCTTGGAATTCCTTGGTGGTCCAGTGGTGAAGCATGTACCTGCTAATGGCTGGGACACAGGGTTGATCCCTGGGCCAGAAGGATCCCACATGCCGCGGAGCAACTAAGTTGCTCCACATGGACGGAGCAGCTAAGCTCGTGACACAACGACTAAGCCTGCACTCTAGAGCCCGTGAGTCGAAACTACTGAGCCCATATCCTGCAACTACTGAAGCCCCAGCACCCGAGAGCCCGTGCTCCCCGACGAGAGAAGCCACCGCAGTGAGAAGCCTGTGCACCGCAACACACAGTAGCCTCCACTGACCACAACTCAGAAAGCACGCGCACAGCAGTGAAGACCCAGTGCAGCCAAAAATAAATAAAATTTAGAAGAAAAGGCTCTTTACTGTCATTCGGTGAGGTTTAAACAGGCGCGGAATCAGGCATTCTGTCCACTCTCTCATCCCACCAACAGGCCATCAAGCAGGGAGACAGCTGCCTGCCTGGCATTAAGTTAGAGATTTGCACCCAGGGACGTGTCCAGTAACTGTCACCAGGCATCTTGGGAGGGAGGGGCTGAGTGGGTCTGAGGGGCCAAAAAGTTTTGCTGAAGAAGTGACGGGTCCTGAGGAACACTGCCAGCAGGCCACTGGGAACAGCAAAGTTGTAGGCCAATAAGCCGCTGGGGGAAAGAGATCCCATTTTACAGATAGGCAAGCTGCGGCCCAGCCAGGCAACCACCCAGCAAATAATCAAGACTGGGGCTCTTGCCATCACATCAGGAAATGTTGGGTGTGGGCATTTCCTGCTACATAAAGTCTTTGCATCCAGGATAGTTCCCCATGGGGAAAGCCTTCTAGAAACCTGCAGTCTTTCCCCCTCACCCCCTCCAGGCTCTGCCTATCAGAAATGAAAAAACAGACTTCCAGGTCAGGGAACAAAACCAGAAATGAATGACAGAAACCCATCGTGAGGACATGAGGCTACGCCATAAGAGGACTTGTATTTTTCAAGAAGACTTTCTTAGTTCAACTGGGCTTCTGCACGCTGCCTGAAAGAACAAATGGACAAGTGATTTCCGGCCCTTGAGCTGGCCGTCCTGCCTTGCTGGAAGCAAGCAGCTTCTCTTCTAAAACCTCCTAGGATTGAAGGGCTAAACTGAAACAGGACATGGAAAAGGACTCTGGAGGTCAACATCATCTTGCAAATGTGGACAGAGCTTTCGTCAAAATCACATTCCATGAGCCAGCAAGCAGTTCAGTTTTTATTTAACAACAGCTTGTTTTTCTTTAAAACAGCAGTCCCCAAACTTTTGGCACCAGGGACCAGTTTCGTGGAAGATAATTTTTCCACAGACAGGGCAG